AGAGCCCCGCAAGACAGCACTGTGTGGAAGGAGCACACAGCACCATGCCGGCTCACGACGGCCCATCCACCACTATAGAGACAGATGATAGCCATAAGGGGTGCTATCAGTGTGAAGGGGTTCGTGTGCATGCTGTGTGTGTGTGTGTGTGTGTGTGCAATGTGTGACATCTGTGCCTGCGTGTGTGCATGTGAGTGCTGTGGGTGTGCAGTGTGTGGAGCGAGCTCGTGCTGTGTGTGGATGTGTGCATGTACTATGTGTGCACATGTATCAGTGTGCCTGTGTGCACACACCTGCATGTGTTTGTGTGCATGTGTGGCTTTACAAGAAGACGTTCAAAACCTGATGTGCTGGATGTCTCCGTGACAGAGCAAAGGAAGCCATTGCACAGGTGCGGTTGCCAGATTCGCGCTGCCTGCTCCGTGCAGCACATGCACGCTCACAGTGGTGCCCAGACACCCCAGCCTTGAGGCCTGAACTGCTGTACCCTCCTCGCACTGCTGGCCCCCGTGGCCCCTCTGCTCTGGACAGAATCTCCGCATTGAGAACTAGCCCCGCCTGGACCTACTGGGACTTACGTAGTTAGGCTAATTCTAGAAGTTTGTGGTTTTCAGCATGAAAATCTGTCCACCTTTTAGCCAGGCATGGAAAGCCCACAGGAAGAAAAAAAATAACATGTTCCATTAAGTACACCAACCGATACATGTTTTTAGAAATAGAACTTTAAAAGAACTTCAAAAGTCCCCCCCTTTTTTTTTTAATAAGGCCTTTTACATCTCCCTGTCTCCCCCCAAAATCCACTTTCTAAATGTCCAGGTCTTCGTATGGAATTATTGAAGTTTAAATAAGAGCCCACCACCCATCCCACCCAGAATTACAGAATGAGCTCCCCTTTGGGAGGTCTGCAGAAGGTCTTCAAGGCGAAGATGTCCAGGCTAATGTGGCAAGTTCCACTTCTCCAACTTTAAATAGAAGGCAAACCATCTCTCAGAGCCATTGTTTCTTTCTTTCTTTGGGGGGGTTATTTAATGGAAGACATGCCATGTTTTATTTTAAGCTGGAGGACTATTCTGGAAAATTCTGCTTTGGAGAAAAATGTTATCATTTGAATTCCCTTTCTGTAAACAAAAACGAAGGCAGTGTGGCTGTTTTGGAGTGGGTGGCGGTCCTGCGCAGTGGAGGCGCACTGAAGAGGCCTCACCTGGACCAGCACCCATTGTCACGAGGGAGACAGACTCCAGGCTGTGTGATACGTGACATTTCCTGGAAACCTGGATTCTCCTCACGTGAACCAAAGACTCTTTAGTCTGCATGAAGGAGTGCAGGCACTGTACGATGCAAGTCCATTTTCCTGTTATGTCACTCCCAAACTCTGTAGTGGGGCGAGGTGGGGGTCTAATTTTGGGTACCCTGAATCTCAGATCTCAAGGAGCTTCAAAGTCTTAAGGGAAACTTTTTTTGGGGGGGGGGTCTGGTTGTGGGGCCTGAACTCTGGGCCTGGGCGCTGTCCCTCAGCTCTTCAGCTAGTGCTCTACCACTTGAACAATGGCGCGCCTTCCAGCTTTTTTTCTTTTTGCTTATGTGGTGCTGAGGAATCGAACCCAGGGCCTCATGCCTACAAGGCAAGCGCTCTACCACTGAGCCACCTTCCCAGCCCTTAAGAGAAACTTTTGTCTTCTCATAATCTTTAAAACATGGCCACTACACTCAGGACCTGTGAGCACTTTTCAGTTTGGATTATTCATTGCTCTGCATTGCTGTATTGGGAACAGGTAAGTCACCCCTCCATCTCTTGAACTCAAATAGGACACAGCAATAACTGCATGGCCCCAAGGCTGGAAGGGAAGCTGGAGGGTTCATCCTCTGGCGCTCACTGCATGGCACCTGTGACCTGACCAGAGCAGGTCCCTGCGGAGGCCAGGATGCAGGGAGGAACGCTGGCCAGCAGGAAGAGCAGCAGCCCCTCCCGCAGCCCCTCCCACAGCCCCGGATGCACTGGCCTGAGACCACCCCACCCTTCCCCCCAGCCCTGCAGGCAGACATCACTGTGGTCTTTGAGATGAATTTAAATGTAAACTTTGGCTTTTTTTTAAGGCTGTTCAAAGAATCTTCTCTGAAAAGAATAATTTTAAACCAATGCCTTTAATAAAAAAGCAAGTCTACCAAAATAAAACTTTTCAGATTTTTCTCTATGGTTTGGGCTTATTCTTGTTTTTGCCACACATTTTGGTTTTAAAGATATAAGATTACTTTTGGTTATGGTATTTTTTATTTAAAATTTAAATGCATTTTCTTTACAAAAAAAATGTTCTACGTAATAGGAGTGTATATTTCTAAGTACTGAGAAACTTAGTGTGTTGCAGTTTTAGTGCTTTATTTTCGGGCAGTTTGTGTAAAAAAAAATTATTCCAGAGGATAAAGGCCCTAAGTGAAAACAAACCTTTAACTGAGATGGGGAATAGAGTGACCTGTGCTGTCAATATTCTGTTCCTTGAGAATTTCTCTTATTTTGTGAAAACTGCTCAACTTTTGTCAAAAAAATTTTGTCCATTGTGGGGCTTGAACTCTGGGCCTGGGCGCTGTCCATGAGCTCTCAAGGAGAGTGCTCTACCACTTGAGCCACAGCACTTCTGATTTTCTGGTGGTTAATTGGAGATAAGTCTCACAGACTTTCCTGCCCAGGCTGCCTTTGAACTGTGATCCTCAGATCTCAGCCTCCTGAGTAGCTAGGATTATAGGCGTGAGCCACTGATGCCCAGCTTGTCAAAAATGTTGACTTGAGCCTTCTAGATCCTATTGGAGTGCAAAATCAACCTTACCTATGCATTTTAGATAGCATTTATTTGAAATGTGGTTTTGATTCTGTTCTATTGGTAGCAGCCATAGCCTACCTCAGCTCTCTCGAGGACCAGTAAATGAGAGAACTTGAGTAGACTTTATACAGGGACCATTGAGACCAACCCCAGCACCCCCACACACCCCCACACACATCTGGGTGGAGAGGGGATCCATTGGCTGGTGATACTTTGAAAAGGTTGGAAGGGTGGGGGTAGGGAGAATTCAAGTTGTACAGATTTCCTCAGAGCCCTTCATACCCTTCACACACAAGTATGAAAGGAATGGCTTTTCTAGAATAGGGCTTCCAGGAAATATAAAGGAATTCCTTTCCCTGGGAGGCCCGAAGCAAACTTGAATTGGGCTTAGGTCTCAAATCCCTTTGATTTAGCATTTTTGTCAACATGGTACATGTTAGGGCCCACTACCAGTTTCTTTTTTTTCTTTTTTGTCAAAAGTGGGGCATATTTATTGAAATGCTCCCTTTTCCCTGACAGAGCCTTACAGAAGTCAAGAAAAGCTAGCCCGGCTTGGATATGCAGAATCTTGAAGGTGAAAGTAACAATATAGGTAGCCATGGTAACTGCAACTTTTCAAAGGGCAGCCGGCTTGCTTTTGTGAGGAATCTTCCTTTTCTACCTTCACAATTCTAAGAAAATTGTGGTGTTTATTTGAGCAAGGAAAACCACCAGTACACGTTTTATTTTGCCAGTACATTTGTGCATTCATTTTCAGTCTATTTACATTTTCATACTGAATCTGTAATAGTCATGGGTTGTTTGCTTTTTTTTTCCTACAGTTACCTTTGCTATTATAAAGTGCTCTAGAAGTCGATTGTTTTTGTAAACAGTGCCAGAGGTTAATAACCAGGTAGATGCTAAAACGTTGCAGAATTTCATTGAAAAATGTTGGTCATGTCTCTCACTAGTCAAACCTACACCTTCCAATGATCATGACTTAATTATGAAACTCACGATCATAGAACAAACCCGAGACATAGTGAAGGTGTACACACCCCTGTAGGATGCAGGGCAGGTGTGCACATCCACCGTCACCCAGTCCTTTCCATGAATGACGCCCCTAAATTTGCCAGTTTCCACCCTCTGCCATAAAGCCCTCCCTGAGGGACGTATGGAGGCGTCTTACTTGGAGAACACTTAGTTATGCTTTGATTCTAGAAGGCTCAGTTAAACCTCTTTTTCTTCCAAACAGTGGAGATAATTTTTTAAACTGGTTTTTTTTTTGCTTTGTTTTAGGATTTAGTGTTTGTAGTGTGGAACAAATGTCAAAAAGGTTTTGGTTCTGGTTCTATCCAAGTCAGATAAGTTTTTTATGTGGTGACATTTTTTTTTTAAAGGAAAAAGTAAAAAAAAAATGAAACAAGTAATGGAAGTTTATTATTTTGTTAAACACTGCTGGTGCTTTATAAAAGAGTCTCTGTTCACCTGGTACAGCGCCATGCTCGAGGAAGCTCTCTTGCTATGTAGAAAATGGCTAGCGCCTATCACTCTCATTGCACCTGACACGCTTCTTGCCACAAGGTGCAGTTCATGGACGCTTGCCCATATTGCACATGCCATGTAACTATATTAGCACTACTTGTAACAAAACACAAGCCTAGAGAATCACCGGTCTGTGAGGGCCTGGACCTCTTCACCACGGGATTGCGCTGGACGAGACCCTTCTCATAAAATATCTGCCTATATATATCTTCTCGCATTTAATGCTTATTCATTATATTCTGAAGGTGCTATTCCTGGTGTCTTCAGGAGTTCGGGGGGGGGGGGGGTGAAGGTAAAAGCTGCTTGACATGAACTTGGATATTCACCCCTCAGTCTTGGCTTATTGATTTTGCAGTGAAGGATTCATTTTTTTTTAATGAGATTTATGAGTGAATTCTAAAGACCATGGAGTTGTTGTGATTCAGGGGATGTGATCACATTTTTCCTTTAGGAAATCATCAAAAAGGGCTTTGAGCCAGGCACTGGTAGGCTCATGCCTGTAATCCTAGCTTCTCAGGAGGCTGAGATCTGAGGATCATGGTTTGAGGCCATCCTGGGCAGGAAAGTCTATGAGGCTCTTGTCTCCAATGAACCACCAAAAAGCAAAATGAGCTGTGGCCCAAGTGCTAGAGCACTAGCCTTGAGTAGTAGGTCAGGGATAGTGCCTAAGCCCAGAGTTCAAGCCCCAGGGCTAGCACAAAAACAAGGGAAGGGGCCTTCCGGCCTGCAGTTTCCTGAAGTGGTGTGTATTTGCAGAGCTGCCTAGTCTAATCCCGTTACTTGGCATTAGGACAAGGCAAGATGCCTTAACTGTGATTCCAGACTGAGGGCAACAGTGTCCCCCAGAGACAGGGTCACCTGAGGTTGCTGCTTGGACAGGAGGGTATTGAGCTGAATCCTCTGGGAAACCAGGTTGGGTGGTTAACCTCTCCCCAGCCTCCATCCTCTCCACGGGCAGCATGGATGACCTCTTAGGTTCTAAAAAGCTGTAGAGTTCTATTAAAATAGTTGTCTCTGTATAAATTAATTCATCTCATGCATACACAGCTTGCCCCTCTCCACCCACTGGACCTGGTGAGATGGAAACGAGGGAGGGAAGGCTGGCCTATGGCTTCTCCCTGCGCTCTGCCCTGCACCCAGCGGGCGGCTCACTTGCATTGATGATGATGGCTCGGCCAGTTTGGCGATGGCCAGGCAGGTTTGGCAGTGATGGCCCAGCAGATTTGGTGACGATGGCTGGGCAGGTTTGGTGGTGGTGGCCTGGCACGTCACCTGCATTGGTGATGGCTAGGAAGGTCACCTGCATTTGTGGTGATGGCTGAATGGGTCACGTGCCATTGGTGATGATGGCTAGATAGGTTTAGTGGTGATGGCAGGGTGGGCCACCTACTGCTGGTGATGATGGCTGGGTAGGTTTGGTGGTGATTCAGTGGTGATGGTTGGGCAGGTCACCTGCCATTCGTGACAATGGCGGACAGGTTTGGTGGCGACTCGGTGGTGATATTGACAGGTCACCTGCCGTTGGTGATGATGGACAGGCAGGTTTGGTCGTGACTCGGTGGTGATGGTCAGGCAGGTCACCTGCTGCTGCTGGACGGGCAGGTTTGGTGGTGATGGCCGGACAGGTCACCTCCTGTTGGTGATGGGTCACCTGCCGTTGGTGATGGGTCACCTGCTGCTGCTGGTGGCCGGGCGGGTCACCTGCCGTTGGTGATGATGACGGAGGCGCCCAGGTAGTGCGGCCGCGGGGCACCGGGTGGCGAGGCGGCGGCCGGGTCCGGGTGCCCGGGCCGCAGCGCGCCAGGCGCGGGCTCGGGGCCGCAGGCGAGGCCCGGGGCGGAGGGCGCCGCGCCCCCCAGCGGCCCGCGCCGCGCCAGCACGCGGTGGTAGTTGAGCAGCACGAAGGGCAGCTGCGCGGGCTCGGGGGCCGGGGGCGCGCGGGCCGGGGCCGCGGGCGCGCAGCAGTCCGGCGCCGCGCGAGCCGGCGCCAGCCGAGCCCCGTCCCGGGGAGCCGCGTCCCGGGCCGCCTGGCGCCCGGCCTTGGAGGAGCCCGGCGCTTCCTGGCCGAAGTGGCCGCAGCTCGGGAAGCTGGGCGGCGCGGCGTCCTCGCCGAACCTGCGCGCGGCGGGGGCTGCGGGGAAGGCGGCACGTTAGGGAGGAAGGGGGCCCCGGCACCCCGCGATCAGCCCATCCGTGCCCCGAGATCGGCCCACCCGCGCCCCGAGATCAGCCCCCCTGCAACCCCCCCCCCCCCCCCCGCGTCCCACCATCAGCCCCAGAGCCCACTGCTCCCCGCAGTCAGCCCACCCACGACCCCCCTCCCCCCGCAGTCAGCCCACCCATGGTCAGTCCCCCTCCGCCCCCTGCGCCCCGCCATCAGCCCACCCGCGCCCCCTGCCCTGCCCCGCGGTCAGCCCACCCACCGCCTTTGCCCTTCCCCAGGCTTGTTCTGGCCGCAGTGGCAAGAGGCAGGTACAAATGTCTCTGGGGCCATAGATGAAGCCCGGTGCAGGAGGCTCACGCCTGTAATTCCAGCTACTCCGGAGGATGAGATCTGAGGATGGCGGCTCAAAGCCAGCCTGGGCAGGAACGTCCATGAGTGGTTGGTGTGTGAGATCTGAACCCAGTACCCACTGCTTTCCACTCCTTGGCTAGCGTTCCACCAACTGAGCCACACCTCCAACCTTCCTGAGATTCTCAACTTGAACCAAGCACCCCCAAAAAGCTGGAAGTGGAGCTGTGGCTCAAGTGTAGAGCGCCCGACTTAAATGGAAAAAGCTCATAGTGTCCAGGCCCCGAGGTCAGTCCTTAGCACCAGAGAGCAAATGTGCACACATACATCCACTAGGGACACTTGGCATGCACGTGGAATAAACACTGAGACACTGTGTCAGGACCCTTGGCCTGTGCTCTCCCCTCTCTGTGGGCCAGCAGCCCGCCCCTGCTGGGTATCAGGGATTCTGTGGGGCCATGTCACTGGCTCCTGGTATGGGTTGGTGACAAGCTGGTGTGGTGTTGGCCAAATGTTTGGGAAAGTATGCCCTCACCAGGGTTAGACTTCAGCAATGACTGTCTGTCTTGTCAGATTTGGAGATGACCAGCCCTGGAGACTGGTTACAATGTGGAACAGCAATGCACGGGATTCGCTTAGAAAGCTGAGCCCTACACACTTCAGAGAATGACAGACAGGACAAACTCTCCAGGAAGTTCTCTTCTTAGTCCTCCCTTAAGTGAGCTCTGGTGTGACGTCTCTGGGGCCCGCTGTCCTGGCGGGACCCTTACCCTGACGTTAGTGGCACCTGTAGAGCAATTGCTCGGTGTGGTCTGCGGTACGAGCGTGGGCAGGTCTGGACAAAGCAAACATTACTACAGCTAAAAATTGTCCCCTGTCGTCTGCCAGGAGTGGGCCAGTGGGCAGCAGAGTGAGGCTGGCCTGGGCAGCAGAGGGCAGCCTGACGTCACGCACAGTGACACTGAGTCCAGGGGAGGCCACACTGCACGGCTCGGACTCCCTTCCACACATGGAGAGAAACGATGCCTGGGTTTTTGGTTTTGCTTTTGTCAGATGTGGGGCTTGAACTTCAGACCTGTCCCTGAGCTCTTTTGCTCAAGGTAGTGCTCTACCATCTTTGAACCACAGCATCACTTCCAGTTTTTTTTTTTTGTTTTTTTTTCCTGGTGATTAATTGGAGTTAAGAATCCCAAGGGCTTCTCTAACTGGGCTGGCTTTGAGCAGTGATCCTCAGATTTCAGCCTCCTGAGTACCATGATTACAGGCGTGAGCTATCAACACCTGGTTTATCTTGGGTTTTTGTCATGCATTGGTGAGTGGCATTTCTCTCCCTGAGCCCATGAATTCCCAGTCTGGTTTTCTGGGGCTTGAATTCAGGGCCTGGGCACTGTCTCTAAGCTGCTTTTTGCTCAAGGCCAGAGCTCAACCACTTTGATCAGAGTTCCACTTCCAGGTTTTTGGTCGTCAACTGGAGATAAGAGACTCATGGACTTTGCTGTCTGGCTCTTTTTATTTTTGTATTATCATCATTATCCTCATTAGTACTGTTGTTATTAATATAAGTGTGTGTGTGTGTGTGTGTGTGCATGTGTGTGTATTGGGGTTTGAACTCAGAGCCTTGGGTTCTTAGCTTTTTCACTCAAGACTGGTGCTCTATAACTTGAGTCAAACCTCCACTTCAGGCATTTTGGTTAACTAGAGATAAGAGTCTCCGGAATGTTTCTGCCAGCTGGCATTACACGGTGATCCGCAGATCCAAGGCACCTGAGTAGCCAGAGTTAAAGGCGTGAGCCTCGAGCGCCCACCCAAAGCGGTGGCCTCTTATCTTCACTTTGGGACAGAGTAAAAGACACGTAACTGGGTGGCCGGGATTCGGAGGGCAGGGCTGGTTGTGACAGCCACTGTTTCCTTTCTGGAGATCGGATGGGGTCGGGGTCCAAGAAGGATGGATACTCGGGTTCTCCTCCTCCCTTGTCTGAGACACACGTGGCCGGCCACCCAGTCCTCCCTCTCGTGAAGGATGCGAGGAAAGCTCAGAAGCAGGGAATTTGCCCAGCGTGTGAGGATCCTTTCCCAGCAGCCCCAGCCCTGTCCTGAGGGCCCGGCCCCCCTCCTGCTCCCCGAGGGGGGTGGGAGGTGGCAACAGGACTCACCTTCATAGCTGGGCACGAGGCTGTGCCGGGTTGCGTTCACGGGAGGCTCGGGCAGGTGTTTAGCCGGGGACGGGCTGCTAGGCACTAGGGGGTTGGCATAGTGCCACTGGCACTCGCCACCGGCGGGCAGCGTGCTGAGGAGGAAGCGGGCCACGTCGCACGGGGATCCCTGGGGCTGCCCGAACTTGGCTGGCAGCACCGGCTTTTTGCTGCTGAAGACGTGCGAGTCCAGAGAGAAGGGTCCGTAATGGTAGGAGAAGGGCAGGCTGTAGGACGGCGCGTACAGGAGATCCCCGCCTTCTGAATAGGGCTGCTGTTCTGGGGGGGCCCCGGCGTGGGCAGGGGGGCTTGCCCTCCAGTCTCCCAGCTGGCCGCATTCCAGTTTGTCCATTTGGAACGAGCCGTACTGCTGTGTGGCAAGGGAGACAATGCGGGCGCGGGGTGAGTGACCATGGGCCGCGCAAGGCCATCTCAACAGGCCGGGCCCCGCCCTGGCTGGGCTGCACCTGTGCCGGCGCGGGGGGCAAAGCTCGTCCCCCTGAGCCAACCGCACACCCCGCGGTCAAGGACCCCGCGGATCCCGCAGCCACTTACTAAAACAGCATTTTTTTAAGGACAGTTTTCATCTTTTCTTTGAGCCAATTCTGGGGTTTGAACTCAGAGCCTCCGCACAATCCCTTAGGTTTTTTGCTCAAGGCTGGAACTCTACCACTTGTGATCCACAACTCCACCTTCGGCTTATTAGTGGTTAATTAGAGACGAGAAAGTCTTATAGACTTTCCTGCCCGGGCTGGCTTTTAACTATAATCCTCAGATCGCAGCCTCTGAGTAGCTAGGATTATAGGCAGGAGCCACTGGTGACTGGCTGTGTTTTCATTTTAAAGGAAGAAAAGAAGGAAAGGAGGAAAGGAAGGAAGGAAAGGAGAAAGGAAGGAAGGAAGGAAAGAAGGAAAGAAGGAAGCTTTTTTTCTTTTTTCTTGCCAGTTCTGGGGCTTTAACTCAGGGCTGGGCTCTGTCCCTGAGCTAATTTTGCTCAAGGCTAGCACTCTATCACTTGAGCCACAGTGCTACTTCCGGCCTTTTCTGTTTATGTGGTGTTGAGGAATTGAACCAAGGGCTTCATGCATGCTAGGCAAGCACTCTACCACTAAACCACATTGTCAGCCCAGAAGGAAGAAAGGAGGGAAGGAAGAGAGGGAGGGAGGGATGGAGGGAGGGAGGAAAAAAGAATATATATACATATATATTTATTTATATACATTTATATACTTTTTTCTTATTTGTGTACATGCACACACACATACACAATTATCAGGGATTGAACTCATGACCGTGTTCTTGCTTGGCTAATAGTTGGTGCTCTACCACTTGAGCCATACCACTAGCCTAGCTTTTTTGCTGGTTAATAGGAGTCATGTGTTTTTCTGCCCAGGCTGCCTCACACCTCCATCCTCTAGGTCTCAGCCTCCTGAGTAGCTAAGATATGTGTAAATCACCAGTGCCCAATATTTTTCTTATTGATTCATTTATTTGCTATTATTTTCATAGCCAGGACACCCCTGCTGAGTATCAGAGTCACCATTCCTAATGGGGCCAGGTGTCCTGGGGTTCCCCAGGAACAGATGCCACCCCCCTCCCGGCTGCAGGGCAGGCTTGTTACCTGTGGGGGGTAAGGGTTTGTTCTCAGCTTTGTCTTCATCTTTGTACTTTTGGGTTTCGCTAATTTCCTGGCTTCTTGTGAGGTAGGCAAGGCAGTCCGCCATGAGTCCTGGGGCTTCGAAGTGGACACCTGGTCCAGCGACAGGTGAAGTTCCTTGTATTCAACATCCCTAGAAAGCGAGAGCGGGAGTCGGGGCGGGCAAGGGTTCCCGAAGCCTGGCTTTCCTGGCTGCAGCCTAGGCCCAGCCCACGCACACCCCCAGGTGGGCGCAGTCTGGTGGGGACAGCAGGAGGTGGGCACGGCTTTGTGCCACCTCATCCAGCCCCATGGCGCCTCCCAGACAGCCTGGCAAGGCTGACCAGCCAAAAGAGCGGAAACGCCATCCACTGAGCGCCCCTCGGGCAGTTTGTGTATGCGGAGCCTCGCTGTTCCCTGCACAACACCCCCGGAGCATGGAGTGCGGCCAGCTGCCGGGGTCAGCCTAGCTTCCCTGCCCCCCCCAGGGTCATTTTGGGTAGCATCTCTGCCTGGACAAGCCAAGTCAGCAAAGTCTTCATGGAAGGAGAATCACCCACAAGGCCACGATGCCTAATTGTCCAGAAGTAATCAAGGAGCTAGTCTTCTCCTGGAAAGATTTTACCAAAATAACTTCCAAAACTTGTAGCGATCAAAAGAACCCAGAGCCCAAATCCTCACTGGCCACAGCCAGGGGGCGGGGTGGTTTCCTGCGGGAGTTAATGTGTATGGAAATGGAATATACATTCTTGGGAAAGTCTCAGTCCTGTTGTTTCTGGTGGCCTTCGAAGAATCTGCACCTGAGCCTGGTACAGCAGTGGATGCCTGAAATACTGGCACTCAGGATGCTCAGAGAGGAGGATGACAAGCTCAAGGCCACCCCGGGCTATACGACAAGGGCTTGTTTTAAAAAGAAAGAAAATGGACTTGAAAATCCCAGGAGTGGGATTTAGAGAGTCACATACTTGCTGTCATTTGCATCAAGTGATACAGGAAGATGGGGGGAAATGGTAGGCGGTGTTCAAGGTGACCCACGGGCTTGTGGCCATGAGAGCCCAGGTTTTATCCCTGTGGAGACAGGGCTGTGCCCTCCATGCCCTGGCCTGGGCTCTGCGCTGGGACGTGAGCCACGCCAGGCTCAGCTCTGTCCCGTCCCCGCCCTGCCCAGTACTCTAGCCGTTGTCACTGCACATCAACAATAGGACCTTCCCCAGCTGCTGGGTTGTTCCAACAAAACCAAACAAGGAGACAAATGAACAGTTTCAGAAAGAGAGAGAGCGAGCGAGCGAGCGAGGGAGCGAGATGGGGACATGGTGCTGCTCAGGCGATGGGATGAGGGACAGACGGAGGAGAGAGCAGGAGAGAAACAAATAGGGCTGACTTACGTGAGGACATAATTGACACTCACGATGCAGTGGGGGCGGGACGAGCGGCTGTTGTGCACCACCGTGGCGTAGCTCTGCACCCACACCCAGCCGCCCAGCTTGGACAGCAGCCGGTAGTACTTGGTGGTGACCTGGCCCTTCACCAGCACTGCAAACACAAGGTGACACAGGTGAGGCCCTGGGAAGGCCGACAGAGGAGGGAAGCCTACACGCACTCGCACTCTCGCTCTGTCACACACACACACACATTCATCCGTGGAACAACCTCTCTCTCACACACACACACACACACACACATTCATCCGTGGAACAACCTCTCTCTCACACACACACACACACACATTCATCCGTGGAACAACCTCTCTCTCTCTCACACACACACACACACACACACATTCATCCGTGGAACAACCTCTCTCTCTCTCACACACACACACACACACATTCATCCGTGGAACAACCTCTCACATTAAGAACTCTGATTTGCTTTCTAGTATCCAAAATGCTAAGAGTGAGGAACCTAGACCGGGCGCTGGTGGCTCCCACCTGTCATCCTAGCTACTCAGGAGGCTGAGATCTGAGGATCATGGTTCAAAGCCAACCCCGGGCAGGAAAGTCTGTGAGACTCTTCTCTCCAATGACCTACCAGAAAACCGAAGTGGTGCTATGGTTCATGTGGTAGAGCGCTCGCCTTGAGCTGAAGAGCTCAGGGACAAGCCCAGAGATCAAGACCCACGGAAAAAAAATAGAGTTGGAAGCATGGCTTAGGTGGTGGAGCACCAGCAAATGAACAAAAGCATCAGATACCGAGTTTGAGTCCTGATCTCGGAGAAGGGAAAGCGGGGGAGAGGGGAAGGGAGAGAGAAACAAAATAAAACGTCAATGGAGAGTTGGATTCTTTTCTTCCCCATCCCCCCTGGCCTCTGGCCACTTCCTTTGCAGCTCTTTTACAGCATGGCTCCAGGACACAGTTGGTGAAACCTGGGGCAGGAGCTCATGGTCTATGCACAGGACAAACCTGGGGCTACTGAGCAGCATCCCCAAAGCCCCAGCATGCCCAGAGCCATGACCCCTCACAGGTGTCAGGATGGCAGGCAGGGGGCCTGGGGTAGGACAAAGCTGAGTGAAGCGCTCAGGGCTGGGTCTCCTCTCCTACATTCTGGGGTTTGAACTCAGTGCCTCACACAGTTGCTAGGCAAGTGTTCTACCGTGGAGCCACACACCCAGCACTGAGATCCGTGCGTGGAGATGGAAGCATGTCTGCGTGTGTGTGTACACACGCGTGTGCACATACGTGCGTGTGTTTATGGTGTGCTCATTTTTTCACAATTAGGGTTCTTCTCTATTTAGGCCTTTTGTCTTTTCTTCACATCGTATCATAGGCATTTCCCATAATGTTATAAATTCCAATTGGCCATCATTTTAGTGGCTGCATCGTACTCCATAATTTGTAGCTCCCTTCCCTACTGCCAAGCCGGGAAGTCTCACCCACCATCCCCCTTCTGAATGCAAAGCAAGACTGCAGTGTCTTTGCCTGGCCTCAGCCTGTGGTCTGTTTGCGCTGCAGACTGCCCCTCCCCCTCGCTGAGTCATGAGGTCCTTCCTCCTATCACCCTTTATTAACTGCCCCAAGTGATCCCAGGCTAGAGAGCCATAACGGGGCCAGGTGTCCCCTGAGCCGTCCCACAAGCAGAGGCCCTGCACCACGTTCCTATCTGCCTTGTATGTCAAGCACCATGGCCTACGAGGGTTCTGGGTTTGGGGTGGTTTGTGCTTTAGATGAAAGCCAGACATTCTGGCTGGCCTTTTTTTTTTGCTTGTCCCGGGGCTTGAACTCAAGGCCTAGGCGCTGCCGTCACTGACCCTGCGCTTTTCCACTCAAGGCTCACACTTGAGCACCGCTCTACTTCTGGCTTTTTGCTGGTTAACTAAAGAGTCTCACAGACTTTCCTCCCTGGGTTGGCTTTGAACCATAGTCCTCAGCGTTCAGCCTTCATCGTAGTTGGGAACATAGGTGTGTGTGAGCCATCGGTGCCCAGCCAGCCTGGTTTTCCAAGGTCACTTTGGTACAGAAATTCTAGGTAAGGTCGGTTGGTCCCGGCCATGGACCCAGCTCTCACCGCAAGGAACAACTCACGCGAGCCACGCGCCGATGTGCACTGCAGGGACCCGTGAGGCACAGACTAGCTGGTTAAGGAGAAAGTTCTGCTGGGCGCTGCTGGCTCACCCTGTCATCTTAGCTCCTTCGGAGGCTGAGCTCTGAGGATCACAGTTCAAAGCCTGCCAGGGCAGGAAAAGTCCCTGAGACTCTTATCTCAAATTCACCACCGAAAAGCCAGAAAGGTGCTGTGGCATAAGTGTAGAACGCTAGCTAGCCTTGAGTGAAAAAGTTCAGAGACAGCCCAGGCCCTGAGTTCAAGCTCCACGACCACCACCACCAACAACAAAAGGAATGTAAGTACATCTAATCTCCAATTAATCATCAAAAAGCTGGAAGTGCCGGGCGCTGGTGGCTCACGCCTGTAATCCTAGCTACTCAGGAAGCTGAGATCTGAGGATCGCGGTTCAAAGCCAGCCCGGGCAGGAGAGACCATGAGACTCCTATCTCCAATAAACCACCAGAAAACCGGAAGTGGCGCTGTAGCTCAAGTGGTAGAGCGCTCGCCTTGAGCTGAAGAGCTGAGGGACAGCGCCCAGGCCCAGAGTTCAAGCCCCACGACCGACAAAAACAAACAAAAAAAAAAGCTGGAAGTGAGTTCAAGCCTCAGGAGGGATACACACACACACACACACACACACACACACACGCATGCACACGCACACACACACAAAACAGTGCACACACAACTTCTCAGACTTGCCACCTGTCTCCTCAAGCTAGCCTCTCCCATCAGAACATAAAAGAGAGAGGACACAGGAGTCAAAGTCCACCCTACTGACCAATTCATTCCTTCAGGTCCTCCCTCCTCCCTCAGGAGGCCACTGCAGGAGACAGGGCCTTCCAGAGGTGCTTAGGTGATATGAGTCACCTTCTCTATAAGAAGAGGAGGTCAGGGACGGGCACCAGTGGCTCACGCCTGTATCCTAGCTACTCAGGAGACTGAGAGCTGAGGATCTCAGTGTGAAGCCAGCCTGGGTAGAAAAGTCCCTGTGAGACTCTTATCTCTAATTAATTACTCAAAAACTGGCTCAAAGTGGTAGCGTGCTAGCCTTGAGCAAAAGACTCAGAGACAGGGCCCACTCTGCCCTGAGTTCAAGCCCCACAAACACCAACAAAAAAAGAAGACAAAGAAGGGGAGATGAGGACCAGACACAGTGAAGAGAGGCCGCTGTCCCCAACAAGGAGACCGGCCTCCGGAGGCAGCCCTGCCGCACCTGGACCTTGGGCTCAGCGTCAGAATCGGGCAGAGGCGGGGCAGAGGCAGGGTAGAGGCGGGGAGGGGAGGAGGAGAGGCTGGGCAGAGCTGCCCGCTGCACCGACCGCTAGCCGTGGACTTGTAGCCACCTGCACCTGCTCCCTCCCGATGCCGGCTGCTGCGGGCTGGGCATCACCAGAGTGGGCTTGGCCCGAGAAGGCCGCAGGAGCTCCACACACTCCTTGGAAGTGAACTTGGGGGGGGCCCCCCCTCATCCCTGGCTCAGGTCCTACTCCACTCCCCCTATTTCAGTCGTGTGTGTGTGTGTGTGTGTGTGTGTGTGTGTGTGTGTGTGTGTGTGTGTGTACACGCATGCGCACGCACCAGGCCTAGGCTTGATCTCAGGCCCAGGAGTTGTCCCTGAGCTTTTTCTGCTCAAGGTTGGCACTGTACTGCTTGTACCACAGCTCCACTTCCCCTCTCTTGGTGGTTAATTGAAGAGTGTCACACACCTTCTGATGCCAGACTGGCTTCGAACCTTGATCCTCAGGCTCAGCCTGAGTGAGCCGCAGTGCCAGCTGCAGTCACTTTCTACATAAGTCCCCTCGGGCTGCAGAGCACCTCCTTTGTCCCCTCTCCCCTCAACACCACCCACTCAGGTCTTCCAAATACCCAACTGTCTACGTGACACCCTCTTCCTGCTGCTAAAGAGGGTTTCCAGGTCCCCTAACAGGGTGAATGGCCTCCAGCCCCGCGGACGCCGCTTCCCGGAGCAAGCCCGCTCTTGGCAATCACCGCATGGGTGTAGGAGGCCATGATCTGGCCATCTGAAGAAAAAAATGAACTCTCTGTGTCTAGGGGCCAGATGTCCATTCACCCCAAGTCCTGGTTGTTGTGGGGCTCTGCCCATGGTGACTTAGGGGGTAATACCATGTTCTGGGGTCTGGGGTCCACACAAAAGCCAGGACAACAACTAGGCCCACGATCACCTGAGACGCTGACCGAAGGCAGTACGGGATGTTTCCAGACAGCACTGGCAAATCCAACACTGTGTGTGGAGAGCTACATCTTTTTTTGGGGAGCCATGCGGCCTCCCCTGAACGCCCAGCAGGGCGGAGCTCAGCGGCTCCGCTCTGCCACCTCCAGGCTGGCGACCTTGGGCACGCGGCTCTACCCTCTGCACCTCGTCACCCTCGGGGGTAAAACCAAGATGCTGAGCGCGAGAGCCGTCCTCCCGGGTTGGTAATCTAGGAAGGATTCCACGAGTGTCTGATCAACTGTGATGCTATTGCAAAGGACGACCAGCTTTTCTAGAACAGCCAGTGCTCCCGATCCTCGGTCTACAACTGGACCAATGCCACAGCAACCATCCCTGCCAGTTCTACTGAGCAGCTGCCCACAGGCTGCTGCTCCAGAGGTAGAGAAGGTCACACTGGTCTGTCCGATTCATACATACATCTGGCACAATGATGGCACCAAGCAAGGGCTGTGTCTGCTCCTGGTCCCCCACTGCCTCCCGCTTCCCCCGGCCCGGAAGCTGCTACTCACGGAGGTGGTGTGCGTAGCGGAGGTGGAAGGTGTCGCAGCCGTGCACGTGGTGGTACAGCGTCTTCTCGATGAGGTCCTGCGGCTCGTAGCCCGTCAGCTCCGTCACCCTGCGGGAGGAGGCGGCTCCGAGAGTCACGCCACTGGGTAGATCTGTCTTTCATTTAAACTAATATTGGTTTTGCCAACTAATCAAGTGCTAAAAGACTCATGGCTGGCGGGGGGGGGGGGGGGCGGGAGCTGTTGATTTTGGAAACTGAGACATGGTCTTTTTTTTTTTTTTAGTAAGAAGCAAGTCTTTGAACTCTGGCCCCGGGCAGGATGGAGCGCTGCGTGTGTGGGAATTCGCCACCGCGCTGGCTGGAAGCCTGTGTGGGATGGCAGGAGCGGGTGGCCTTTCTCCGGGGTCAGCTTCTCTGCGCTCCCTTAGGCTCGAACTCTGATTCCACACTGGGCAGAGCTGTCACCGTGAGCAAGAACTTACAGGAGCGCCGCAGCAACAGTCCTACGTGAGCCTTGGTTTTTTACTCTGCTAAAACTTACTATTTTAGCTGTAAAGGTCAGTAGTCCGAACGACATTCTTGTGATTGTGCGACCAGCACCCTGACCACTTTGGTGATGCCAACACTGCCATCACACGCCGAGCAATGCCTCCCCGGGAGCCCCTGGCTCCTTAGCCCTCCCCCCACGTCCCTGGTCTCCTCTAGCCAGTCCACCCCCCCCTTTTTATTCCTCCGCTGGTATTGGGGCTTGAACTCAGGACCTGTCCCCTCAGCTCATTCACTCAAAGATGACATTCTACCACTCGAGCTACAGTTCCACTTCTGGCTTCTTAGAGGCTAACTGGAAATAAGAGTCTTGGGGACTTTGCTGGCTTCAAACCATGATCCTCTGATCTCAGCCTCCTGAACTGCTAGGGTTCTAGGCATGAGCCACCAGTGCCTGGAGCTCCTCCGTTCAACTTCTGTCCCATCTGTCTACTCTAGATGCGTCCTCGAAGGAGAAGGACACAGCACAAGGCCTCTGGGACCTATCTTCTGATGCCCGCTGTGGAAGATTCTTCTTCTCCAGAGCCTAGCAATAAAGGTGGGAACGGCAGCACTGTTCTAATACAGTAGCAAAGATTTTACCTGACAAAGAGAAAGTGAAGGCCACTCAGAAGAACGAGCAGCAAGACCCAGAAAATGGTTGTTTGCCTCTTAGCCCTGGGCTCGTGGCTTTGTGCTGCCCCGATGTCCCCTTTGCTCCTCCCACCAGGCAGTCTGGGAGCCGGTGCCTGGTGGATTTGGAGCGGGGCTGCCGCGCGGTGGGCTGGTCTGCCCAGCAGAGGCTCTTCTTCCCTGACCTCGCCTCCGGTCCGTTCTCGTTTGTAACGTGTCAGATGTCATTCTTTTCACGGCTGAATAATCTTCTATCCCCCTCTCGTGTGCTGTTTGTTCACTCACCTCTTGATAGGCACCTGGGTTTGTTGCTACCTGCTGGCTAGTGTACGTATGGATGTTTCCATCCCTACTCTAACCAGTGCTGTTGGTGCATTTCTGTACCAGTACAGGGGCTTGAACCCAGGGCCTCAGGCTTTCAAGTAGCTTTTTGTTCAAGGCTGGCACTCTACCACTTGCGCCATACCTCTATGTCCAATTTTTTGCTCATTAACTGGAGATAAATCTCACAGACTTTTTTTCCCCAGGCTGGCTTTGAACCACAATGCTCAGATCTCAGCCTCCAGAGTGGCTAGGATTACAGGCGTGAGCCACTGGCACCGACTTACACTGGACACTGCTCATCAGCTCAGTTGGCCTCTGGCCTCTCCAGCTGGCTGGTCTCTCCTGATGAGAACTGGGGGGGGGAGTGGACAGGCTTAACCCTCGTGTCAGGGGGATTATGGGAGAGCCCAGATCCTGGAATGACAACCGCAAGTGCCACAAGCTCTGGAAAGCGGAAGCTTTGCTGGCTTTTCTGAGGCATGACCCCTCTTCTTCCTCATTCATGTCACACTTTAACCCTCTGAACGCCCCGCCCACAGGCCCTGGCCCCGCCCACTGCCCCTCGCCCCACCCACCGGCCCTGGCCCTGGCCCTGGTGTGTGCTCCGTGCATATGGCAAAGGCTTCCTTTCCCAGGCTCAGGCTCGGGACAGGAGAAGCGGCTTTAACTGTCTTGGTGATGGGCATTCTGGACAGATGGAGAGGGACAAGAGACTCCAAAGGAGGTGAGGACTAAGGAAAAGTCAGCTCTGGGGGGCAGCTGGGGGGTGGGGAGGAGATGGGGACCAGGGCCCTGGCCTCCCGGATAGGAAATGTGAGCTGGGATTGAGCGAGGAAACCGCCTCACCGGGATGGGAACCCGCGGCCTCTCATGGCCTCTCACTTGCGCTCTGCCTGGTGTGGGGTCATAACCCACTGACAGCTGCCGAGTCGTGTTTGGTGACATGTCCTTCTGTGGTGCTCTGATGCCTACCCACATCAGAAGCGTAGCCATTCACTTTCTCATCAAAGGACACAATTACAGGTCAGGAAAGTGCTTGGCAGGATGCTCTCTGGAGTCTGAAGACCCCAAGCCCCAGCCCTGCCTGGTCTTCCAAACCCCCAATCGCGGGCTTACTCATACTCGCAATGACACCAGCTACAGCTTCCCAGGGAACGCCCCGAGGCCCCCAGGTCAGGTTATGGGAGTGCAGCCGATCTGGAACATGCTGGGGGCACAGTGTCCGCCTCTAAAGCCCCTCTCCTCACTCCTGGGACTTGGGGCTCTGGACCTCTGGCCCCACCTCCATGGTGGCTTTTGATATGTGGACACAGACAGCGACCTCTCTGCACTGGCCTGGCCCTGCTGACCTCCCAGGGCCTGACCAGCCCCCTCCCACACCCCCGCGGCAAAGACCACGGAGCAGCAGCAGGACAAAGCCTGTGGTGGCAGTGCAGGGCTCCCTGGCACACATCTGGCCACCCTCCTCAGTCCCTCCTGTAAGACTGGCCAACAGATGTTGCTAGAAGTGTCCCAATACTCAGCACAAAAGACTGCAGGGCCAGAAGCACTAGGAAGTTTCCTTCTCTTGCACTCATTAAGCAGTGCTGACCCAGTCTGCTCGCCTCCCTCCCTCCTGAGGGTAAACACAATAAACTCAACTAGCCAGGGCTGCTGGCTCCGGCCTGTAATCCCAGTTACTCAGGAGGCGGAGAGGACCAGGGTTTGAAACCAGCCAGCCAGGAAAGACCATGAGAGTCCTACCTCTGATTTTCACTCAAGTGTCAGCCTTGAGTGAAGAGGCTAAGGGAGAATGCTCAGGCTTTGAGTTCAAGCCCAAGTACTGGCACAAAAAGAAAGGGTGGGGGAGGGGGGGAAGGAAGGAAGGAAGGAAGGAAGGAGAGAGGGAGGGAGGAAAGGAGGGAGGGAGGGAGGGAGGGAAGAAGGAAGGGAGGGAGGGAGGGAAAAGAAGGAAGAAAGAGAAAAGGAAGGAAAGGAAAAAGAAAAAGTGCGAAGGAAAAGAAAGAAAACTTGTGCTCTGCCACATATTTGCACGGCGACCCCAGGGAGGCGACTCGGCCGCGATGCGTTTGTTCACTGAGAGCAGGCTCCGAGTGGCTGGACTCGGGTTCTCTCGCAGGTCTCCGGCCGGCCCTCCGTGCTGGCGTGGCTCCACGCGCACACGCTGCCCTCGGGGCCAGCGCCCGCCACGGGCGTCTTCAGCACATGAAGCAGGGGTGGCCGCAGGCTGGGGACTCACCTTGAATCCAGGAAGATGAGCTTCAGGTCGAGGCTGGCTCTGAACATGAACATGTTGCTGTACAGCTTGATCTCGGTGATGGCGCTGGGCGGCAGCGACTGGCCCACGGCCACCAGCCCCACAATCTGGTAGCAGGAGTCGTACAAGGCCATGTCCAGCATGTACTGCCTGATCTTCAGGTAGCCGCTGCAGTGGATGACCTGGGGGAGGGGCGGGAGGGATGTCATCGGGGCCCAGCACTCGGCTCCTCCCCAGGTCCCCCCCTTCCACCCCCCGGACTTCCACGGTGCTGGGGTGCTGATCCCCCAGCCCAGCTCTGACCGAGCCATACAAGCCAAACAAGCCACTGGAGCCTGTGGCTCACACCTGGAATCCCAGCTGCTCGGGAGGCTGAGATCTGAGGATCACCTTTCAAAGCCAACCCAGGCAGGGAAGTCTGTGAGACTCTTCTCTCTACTAAACCACCAAGAAGCCAGAAGTGGAACTGTGGCTCAAGTGGTAGAGGACCATCTTTGAGTGAAAAAGCCAAGCAAGAGTGCCCTGGGTCTTGAGTTCAAGCCCCAGCAGCAGCACAGAAACAAAACAAAAACTCAGAAGCAGGGGGGGGGGGGGCGGTGGTGGAAGGAGAATGTACATGTACAACGTTCCAGCTCCATCGGATACTCTGTGCCTGGGCTGGGAGTGTGGCTCCGGGGCCCCAGAAACACCTGCTCCACAGAAGCGAGAGACTGGAAGCGTTTACATCAGTGGAAGTCAGAAAGATCGTGGCCCTCTAATGCTGGTGGTGAACAGCGATGCCCCAACTTTCCTATTCTTTTTAAAAATGTGCCAGTGGCTCATGCCTATAATCCTAGCTATGCAGGAGGCTGAGATCTGAGGATCGAGGTTCAAAGCCAGCCAGGAGAGTCTGTGAGATTCTTATCTCCAATAAACCAATAGAAAACCGGAAGTGGCGCTGTGGCTCAAGTGGTAGAGCGCTCGCCTTGAACTGAAGAGCTTGGGGACAGCGCCCAGGCCCAGAGTTCAAGCCCCACGACTGACAAAAAAAATGCAGTCACTGCATGTCACATATACTACGTACATTATGGGGTTGAAATAAAAGCCGAGAAGAAGCTGGGGCAAAGGGGCCCCTAGGCTGGGAGGAACATTCCAGAAAGAGGCCAAAGGCATCAAGGTGCTCCCTTTCACGGCATCTTTATTCCTCCTGGTCACTGGGACAAAAGGAGGAGGTGGCTCTGCCGTGGGCCACAGCAGTGGCTTCTGGGCGGAGGCAGCTGGGCCAGCCCCCAGGGGTGGGCCCTGCTCCTCGCTGCTCCAATCACCCAGGGCATGGCCGCAGCAGGCTGACGGGAAGGAGCAGGCTGACGGGAAGGAGCAGGCTGACGGGAAGGAGCGCGGGCCAGGCTGGGAGGTCTGCGCCCCCTCAGCCCCTCAGCTCCCTGCGCCTGACCTCTCTGCTACCTCCCACTGACCTGAGGCCCCTCCAGTCACACACACCCCCAGCCAGGGAGTCCACGCACCTTGTACCCGCTGCACGTCAGGCCTGCATTTCTTTTCGCCAAGACGCACTTCATGCGAAGAAAGAAGGACCTCTCTAGTTCATACTCTGAAAGCAGGCACACGTTAGACCGGCCACCGACCCGCTAGCCTCCCCCTCTGCTCCCACCGAACACCACGCAGGGCTTCTCAGGGCAGGTCCAGCAGACTCAGGCTCTGAGCCTGTGATGGACAGCAGCCATGCCTGACTGGTATGGCCTCCAGACAAAGACGGAACTAGAGCCTAGAAAGGGTCAGCCTGGAGCAGGCCACCGGGGCTCAGTTCTATAATCCTAGCGACTCAGGAGGCTGAGATCTGAGGATCAGCCCACACTGCCAGAAACGTCCATGAGACTCTTATCTCCAGTTAACCACCAAACTACCCCACAACAAAACACAAAATGGAGCTATGGTTCAAATGGTAAGGTGCCAACCTTGAGTGAAAAGGCTAAGGGACAGCATTCAGGCCCAGAGTTCAAGCTCTAGTACCACAACACAAAGGAAAGAAAGAAAGGGAGGGAGGGACGGAAGGAGGGAGAGAGGGAGGGAAGAAGAGGAAAGAAGCTGGGAAGGAAGAAAAGAAGGAGGGAAGGAAGGAGGGAAGGAGGAAGGGAGGGATGGAAGGAGGGAGGGAAGGAAGGAAGGAAGGAAGGAAGGAAGGAAGGAAGGAAGGAAGGAGGGAGGGAGGGAGGGAAGGAAGGAAGGAAGATGGTAGAGCTCTACCTGCCATGCTTCCCCCTCTTGAGGCCTCAGAGCCACTTGGTGGTACCAGAACCTGAGCTAGCACTGGGGCTGATGTCTGAGCCAACAGGAAAGCGTTCAGACTCCTTCAGGGCAGCAGTCCCCATCAGCCCTTGCCCAGGCAAAAGCATCCCTGCGGCCACACGAGCGTCCTGCGGCCACGCGAGCCTCCTGCCGGCTGAACTGTGGCTTACTCCCAGCAAAGCTCTGGCTTCCATTCCCAGCCCTGGCCTCATGGCTTTGGCAAAGCTCCGATTCCTTTCCTGCACAGCCCGCCCCATCTCTGGGGGGCATGGCTGCAAATGCAGAATGAGTCCTCTAAGGAAACGCAGGGACAGCAGAACCCCGAGGACTGCATGCTTTGTGAACAGCGCTTGGTGGAGGCTAATACATGAGAGCATCACTAAGGATGAAACAAGCTCTTCCACCCTCTGTCAGGGCACTGCCGAGGAGGGGAGCTGCCTCAGAGGCCCCTTTCCCTGCCTCGCTTACGGAGACCACCAGCTTTTACCCGCCATGCCTCCCACGGTCGGGAGCTCCAGGCATAAGGCTTCCTTCCAACATGGCTGCTTGCCTGAACCAGGCAAGGAACATGTAGAAGCTCAGGTCTCAAAGGTGTCGCCTGGAAATGTGGAGGGAGAGCCTCTGTCTCACACATTTATCATTTAATGACGTTCACTTTAGACTCAGGAAACGAGCTCTGCGAATTTCAAGTTAGTTAGAGAGGAAATTAAAGGCTTGCCAATTCTGATCCTTCCCTTGGCTGGCATTGAAATGAGTCAATGCTCCCAGACCTCGGCGCTTCTCCTTCTGTTCTAATGCTGTGACTAAGACTTGAACCCCACAGAACAGGGGGTGGAAAGGTCTCCCCGGGGCTCTGAGATTCATCTGCATTCATTCTGTAAACAAGTTTGGAGACTATGATGTTTGAAAGGAAAGGGCACCAGGGAGAAAAGCCATTCCCAAGGACATAAGAAATCACAGAACAGCCCAAATCTGGTCTCAGGAGGCTCTCTCTCCTTGGAAAAGACCAGCCTCATGATTACTTCTGGAGCTAGAACTTAGGGGGCACAGGGCTGCATCTGTCAGGGGTCTGAGAAGCGAGTGCCTTCTGTAGGCTTAGGACAACCTGCTCAGGAGAGAAGCATCCTCTTCACATGACTCCTGATGTCTCCTCTTTTGCATCTTGTTCCACTAGCAACTTCGGCCAAGTTGTGTTCCACAGCCCAGGCACACATGAGGGCCATTAGCTGGCGTGCCTGCCTGGTGGGCTCTCGGGCTGTTGGACTGAGTTAAAAGGGCAGGGCCGCTGGAATACATCGTGAAACTCCCTACCACTCATGCAGATGGTAATTTAAGGATTCATTTGTGTGACGTCCAGGGCTTTTTTGAACTGATTTATGTCATGGCACAAAACCTAGATCCTGCTGGGTGCTCGTGGCTCACGCCTGTAATCTTAGGTCCTCCGGAGACTGTGAGACTCGTGTCTCCAATTCACCACAAAAGGCTGGAAGTGAAGCTGTGGCTCAAGTGGTAGGGCACTAACCTTGAGCACAAAAGTTCAGGGACAGTGCCCAGGCCCCGAGTTTAAGCCCAAGACTGACCAAATGTGTGTGTGTGTGTGTGTGTGCGCGCACACACACACACATACACTGCTTTCTAAATGCATGAAATTTATAAGATTACAAAAGGAATCAATAGAAAATAGTTACCAATATATTTCAACACAAATGTGTTGCTTTGCTGTTGTATTACATAACAAGAATCAGGAGCAGGTATAACTCTCAAGCTTTTGAAGTAGCCAGAGCACCAAGCATATGGTTAAATATCTGTAACAATAGTAATGTCATCAAGCAATCTCTCTGTGATGTCTGCAGTTAGCAAAGCCACAGGAGCCACGGTTTATAGTCTACAGTCACCAGCAAAGCGAGGCTAAACTTTATCTAGAGGCAATCTAGGTGTCATTTTCCCCACGACCTTTCCCGGCCCTTTCCCCTCCTCATGATCTGTCCTCAGGGGGAGCAGGCCCGGTCTGAACTCCTGACTCCACCTTGAAAGCCCTACATAGAAAAGAGCACGTGAGGGGAGGACGCTTTGGTCTCCACGGTCACTGGTGCAGATGGTTCAATATCATTGGCTGAAAACAAAGGCATGATCTGGGCATGAAGCCTGAAGTAGAGTGCTAGTCTGGCATGCACAAGGTCTGGGTGAGAGACAGAGAGAGAGGGGGAGAGGGAGAGAGGGAGACAGAGACAGAGAGACAGAGAGACAGAGAGAGACAGAGAAACAGAGACAGAGAGACGGAGACAGAGACAGACACAGAAACAGAGACAAAGGGAGAGGGTGGTGGGATGGAATGAAAGAAAAAGAGGGAGAAAAATAGGAGAAAAGGAAGGAAAGGAGAGAGGCAGAAGGAAAGAAGGAAGGAATTAGGAAAGAAGAAGGAAGGAAGGGAGTAAAGAAGGGCATTAGGAAGAAGCGAAGGGAAAAGAAGGGAAGAAGGAAGAAAGGGAGGGAGGGGAGAGGGAGGGGGAGACACAAATCCCCCTTGGCGGGGGTGCTGCCGGTTTCCCCCAGGCATGCTGAGCTCCTGGGCAGGCGCGGGCAGCCAGGCCCCGGGGTGACCGTGGAGAACGCGGCCTTGCGGTGGGTCTGCGGCCTCGGGCCTGGGCGGTACCTGGGAGCAGGTGGTGGTGGAGGGGCGGGTGGGCGGTGAGGACCGCCGTCATCTCGTCGTGGTCTGAAGGATGGATGTACTCATAGATGCTGTTGCCAGTGAGCTCCACCTGCCGAGGGAGGAGAGGGCCAGAGAGTCATCAGTGCCATCCGTCTGGGGCGGGCACGGGGAGGGGTCAAACCACCGCAGGTCACAGCTTTGCCAGACATAGAACTCTGAACCACAGACACCATGGGACTCAGCACCGAGACGGTCTTTAGCAGAGGAGGGGCCGAGGGTGGGCCTTGGAGATGGGGGTCCCACCTCAGGGCCTGGGCTGTGTCCTTCAGACAGAAGACAACTTCCGAGAGACTCAAAGACGGGTGCTGGTGGCTCCCGCCTGTAACCCTAGCTACTCAGGAGGCTGAGATCTGAGAATCAAGGTGCGAAGCCAACCTGGGTAAGGAAGTCCTTGAGACTCTTGTCTCTAATTAACCAGCAAAAAGTCAGAAGTGGAGCGGTCACGCAAGTGGCAGAGCACCAGCCTTGAGGGAAAAAAGCTAAGGGACAGCACCGAGGTCCTGAGTTCAAGCCCAGGCAGGGAGGGAGGGATCATGCCTGACCTGTCCAGTACCCACCCTCACCACGCGCTGTGGGAGGGGACTGCTCCGGGGAGCTGGGTCACCAGGACCCTACTGCTCTCTCTTCAAGGCCTTGTCACTCAGAGCCCGAGCCCTGACCCACAGGCGCCGGGCTTCTCTGGACAAGGACTCCCCCTGCGACACGGGGCTCTCTCTGTCAGCCCGCAGCTGGGCCTCTCGCATCAGGACACAGATGTGCCTTTGGCCTTCCCGGTCCAGCATGCCTGTGCTCACGGTGGCTGCCGGCCCGGGGTCTCGGCATGGACCCCTGGGAGGGCTTGGGACCCTCCCGGCCAGCCTTGTGACACCATCATGGCTTCCTGAGGTGGCTATCTGCGTGTGTGGACACTACCTGGCCGCTGGGGGCGCCATGGGGGCCTCAAGATCAGAGAGGATGCGGCTCGATCTGCGGGAAGCGGCACGGGCACTTGACCAGACTCCCTCACTGTCTTATTCGTGACCTGCAGACACTTCCTGGGGTTCTCTCAAACATAGTGTGAGAGGGAGGACGGACATGCTGGCTGATTTCTGATGATCCAGGCCCCTTACCCACCTCATGATGGGCAGTGACATAGAATGTTCTAGCAACCACTACCAATACCACCACTAGACCAGGCTCCTATGCAATGGCGGGTGGTGAGCCCTCATTTGAGAGCTACAATCAGTAAGGCTGGGGTAACGGACAAGGACAGTGTTCAGGGGAGCTCCAGGAGTGCTCATTCCAACAGAGTGAATATGAACCCCAAAGCCAGCCAGGCGCTGGTGGCTCACGCCTGTCATCCTAGCTACTCAGGAGCCTGAGATCAGAGGATCGCGGTTCAAAGCCAGCCCGGGTAGGAAAATCCATGAGATTCTTATCTCCAATAAACCACCAGAAAACCCAAAGTGGCGCTGTGGCTCAAGTGGTAGAGCGCTTGCGCTCGCCTTGAGCTGAAGAGCTGAGGGACAGCGCCCAGGCCCAGAATTCAAGCTCCACGACCGACCAAAAACAAACAAACAAAACAACAAATCCTAAACCCAGTGTGGAAAGAGACTTGAAGCACACAAGGCAGTACGGGCTATCAGGTGCCCGGGGCTGGGTCTGAAGCTGTCCTCAGCCCTGCCCACGGAGGGAGAGACTCGCCCGTGGCCTTCGCTCCAGCCCCCACCTCCGCCCGCACTGCAGAGCCATGTCTCCCACTCCTCCCACCCTCATTTGCCAAGTTGCCCAGATGTGCCAGTCACATTTTGTTCAGAATAGATCACATCTGCCTCCCGCTTCATCCTTCTGCTCCAGCCAGCCTCTCAGGGCCAGTTCCGCCTTCTTCAGCGTCAACTCGTTCTTGATAAGCCTTTAAAATGTAAACAAATAAGTGTCGGGTACCGGCAGCTCACACCTATAATCCTAGCTACTCAGGAGGCTGAGCTCTGAGGATCACGGTTCAAAGCCAGCCTGGGCAGGAAAATCCGTGAGACTCTTATCTCCAATAAACCACTAGAAAACTGGAAGTGGTGCTGTGGCTCAAGCAGTAGAGCGCTCGCCTTGAGCTGAAGAGCACAGGGACAGCGCCCAGGCCCAGAGTTCAAGCCCCACGACCAACCAAAAAAAAAAAAAAATTAAACACATGAGCATCGTGTGAGACAGGTCCGTGCCCCTTCTCCCGAGGGCGGCTGGAGTGTAGGCACTGTGAAGTTCTGCAAAGTGGGAGATTGGAAGCTCGTCAGTAAAGGAGCTGGCTTTCTCTCCCTCTGCCCTCCCTCTTCTCTCTCCTTCCTTCCCTCTTTCCTTCCTTCCCTTCCTTCCTTTCTCTACCCTTCCCTCTTTTCCTCCCCTTGTCCCCCTCCTCCCTTCTTCTTATTGATCTTCCTCCTCTTCTACCTTCCTCTCTCCCTCCTCTATTTCAATGGTTTGTTTTAAAAATGGAAAAAAAAACCCAAAAACCAAAATAGAAAATCTTCCTCTGGGTCTATCACGCCCCCCCCCCCCCCCATGTTTTGGGGGAAATGAGTCTTCTGGTTTGCTTGATGTTCCTTTCCAGAAAAAAGCAGCACATGAGATGTCTCTGTAGGGGGTGGGCTCGAGCAAGTCTCATCTCTGCCGACTGGAAAGCAGCTTCACATTTTAATCTGATTTCCTCACAGGCTGGAGGATGGGAGAGCAGGGACGAGAGGGGATGAAAGGCTTGATTTTCTGAGCTCTTGCATCTTTTACCAACAACCAGGCTAACGCTGTCCGGGACGCCTAGCAGCAGGCAACAGGAATGTGTGCACAGAACACAGGATGAAAGTGCTCACCTTCACTCAAATTACGCTTGACACCAGATTTCCTGTATGTACATACTTCCGTGTGCTTCTGAATGGTGGGAGAAAGAGGACTACCAGCCAACTAGAAAAACATACACACGTATGCCTGTGTGTTGCGTTGTGCACATGTGCAGACGCGTGTCCATGTATGGCTGCTGCTATGGAACTCCCTAGGTCTCATCCATCAGCCTTATTAAAACAAAACTTCACTGTGATATTTAGTATTTGTAAAACTGTGCTAACTACAAAATGAATGACCTTTCTGCTAAGAGCTTTTTTATGTTGTGCTGAATAGCTTTGCTTCTGCCAAGAGAGCTGTATCTCGTAACTACAGAAAGACCGAGTCATGGGGCCTTTGGACCGAGCCCATGACTCTGTTGGGGTGGGGGAAGGGTTGAGTGTGGCAAATTAAGCATTTTAGAATAGGATGGTTTGGGTTTCAGGGTTCCAGTTATGTCAACAAACATAATATGCCCTAAAACGCTTTCCTTTTGCTTGATTTCCAAAGTGCAAGGGAAACAACACTACTGCTATTTTTATGGCTGTATTTCTGGCATCCATCTCAACGATCACATTTACCTTTATTCGTCTCATAAACAGCTATTTTATACATATCTGTATGGTCTTTAAAAATGTATATTAGTGCCAGGTACCAGTGGCTCAAAGCCTGTAATCCTAGCTGGTCAGGAGGCTGAGATCTGAGAATCACAGTTCAAAGCCAGCCCGGGCAGGAAAAGTCCACGAGACTGTCATCTCTAATTGATCACAAAAAGCCGGAAGTGAAACTGTGGCTCAAGTGGGAGAGTACTAGCCTTAAGCAAAACTGCTCAGGGACAGTACCCAGGTCCCAAGTTCAAGCCCCAGTACTGACACACATACAAAAAAAAAAAAAAAAGTGGGGGGGGGGGGGAAGGAAGGAAAGAAAGAAGGAAGGAAGGAAGGAAGGAAGGAAGGAAGGAAGGAAGGAAGGAAGGAAGGAAGGAGGGCAGGAAAGGAATTTGAACCATTAAGATGCCTGCCAAATATAAGTAGTTGCATTCACTCCAAAATAAACTAAATTATCTAATTAATATTCGTAGATTACTTTCCCCCGACACTACCTTATATTTAAATGTCTACCTGTTTTGTACCTTTGCACAAACACTAGTTAGAATTTTCAGGCCACAGGTTATTTCCCAATACTCAGCATCCGGGCTGGGGGTAACTTTCATTTTGTGGTTGTCTCTGTCCGTTTATTGAGCAGCCAGTTTGGGCAGCCATAATTATCTTCTTACTAGTTTAAAGCTAAATGAACTTGTGGGGGCACCAGTGGCTCATACCTGTAATCCTAGCTACTCAAGTGGCTGTTAAGGATTGTAGTTCTAAGCCCGCCTGGGCAGGAAATCTGTGAGACATGTGTGCACGTGCATATGTGTGTGTGTGTGTGTGTGCGTGTGTGTGCATGTGCCAGTTTTGGACCTTGAACTCAGGATCCGGGCACCGTCCCTGAGCTTTTTTGCTCAAGGCCAGGGTTCCTGAGCCATAGCTCCATGTGATTTTTGGTGGTTAACTATAGAGAAGAGTCTCACAGCCTGGGCTGGCTATAAATTGTGATCCCCAGATCTCGGCCTCCTGAGTGGCTAAGATTACTGGCTTCCACAGACTCCTATGTCCAATTAATCACCAAAAAGCCAAAAGTGGAGGTATGGATTGAGTGGTAGAGTGCCAGCTTTGAGCTTAAAAGCTAAATGACAGGGTCTAGTTTTTGAGTTTAAACCCTAGTACTGGCGTGCGTGTGCGTGTGCATGTATGTGAGTGTGTGCACGCACACACGCACACACAGAACAAAACAAACTCTGCCCCTGAAAAGTGGTAGAGATTTCTTATTCCAATACTTGCCAAAAAAAAACAAAACTTCAACAGGAGGCTTTCGTGGAGATGGGCTGTAATGCGCACAGGGTTATTTTATGCCCTCAAAGAGATCATTCAGAGAGCTACTTAGAGGGTTCAGAACAGAAGCAGAATAAAATGGAACAACTCCCCCTTGCTGGTGAATTTCTGTTCCTCGAGACTGTGGTGCAGAGCTGAACTTGACTCCACACGAACCTGGAGCCCGGCTTCAGAGGTCACGTGATTGAGAGCGAGTAGAAAATCTTAGAACCCAGAGATGCATCATGTAAAACACACGCTATTCCTGAAATCCTATTTACCCTTTCATACCTACTCACAGGGTTACTCTACATACTGTGCACATCCTATTTATTTACTTACTTATTATTTTCAGGCACATTTTTATTAACACAACATTTTTCTCCTTTCAGGGGGGAATAAACCAACTTTACACGAGGCTAACAGTCTGCTACAACCCCCTAGTCTTCAACACTTTGATCTCTGTTGATTTTGTTTAAAAATAAAACCTATTTTTTTTAAAAAAGTTTTTCAGATGTGATGTGTTCTGTCTGAATGTTTGCTAATAATTAAACGAATCTGAAAGGTATAAAACATGTTTTTAAAAAAGAACAGTTGGGTATTTGGCATCTGATTCAATACTTTATTTCACAATTTAAGTCAAGGAGACAGGAAAAATGCACATGGTGATTCTGTCTAGATTAGCTTCTGCGGGCTCGGTCGTGGACAGGAAGCATAGGGCATGGAGAGCCAGTCGCTGCTTATTTAAACAGTTCACTGCTGGACACTGCCAACCACGCCTAAGGAACGTACCTCAGCCGTTCAGGATTCTTACAGAGGCCCACGGAAAAATCCAGAAGAAATCAGTTACTCTGTGTAACCAGTCTGACTTTCTTTTTTAAAGGAACACTTCTTCTGGGGACACAGAGACAAAAACAAAATAATCCTATCTGCAGAACTTTCTGGAAAATGGCAGTGCATGGCTCCTGCTGGTGATAACAAGTTTGATTTCTGTGTGCAATCGAAAGGAAATGTGATCTTTATTCGCCAGGCTGCCTCGTTTTCCTTCTGGGGAGTTAATGAGAAGCAGGGATCTGCCACCTCGCCTATAAGGTGGAGGTTCTTAATGACCGCGTTCAGACTCGGTCCCTGCCATAGCCCACATTAACAGAGAGAAATGGCAGAGACGACGGGCGGTGACCAGCCACCTGGCTGAGACAACCTCAGGACAGGGCCGGGCATGGGACAGGGCCGGGCATGGGACAGGGCCGGGCATGGGACAGGGCCGGGCATGGGACAGGGCCAGCCTCACCCACGCCCGGAGAGAACTCTGCAAGCAACTGTGTTCTCCTCAAACTGTGGCCTCTCTGCCTGCTATGTAGCTCACTATCGGGTATAAAACACATAAAACAGTTTCCTTGATCTTCTCCTTACCATGATCATGAAAGGAGGATATAACAGGAATTCGTTTATTATTTAAATCATGGTTCCAGGATATCAAGAATCTGCCTTGTCAGACAGAGACGGATCCTTTCCATCTGACTGCTGGAGATCTAACATTGATGTTCAACAACAGTGGCTTTATTTATCTTAAAAAGATTTTTGACTAGTCATCTGGGAAACAAGTGAAATGTTTGTGACGCTCTTGTAAATTATAATTTTTTAAAGTAAATCATCTTTCGGGTGTCAGCAGTTTGTGCCTCTGTAATCCTAACTACTCACGAGGCTGGTATCTAGAGGATCAAGGTTCAAAGCCAAACCAGGCAGAAAAGTCCTTAAGCTTCCATTTCTAAAATAACAAACAAAAATCAGAACTGGAGGTGTGGCACACGTGATAGAGTATCCGCCAAGCAATTTGAGAAGTCCTGAGTTCAAACCACCAGAAAAGAAAAAAAAGGAGTAAATAATCCAGTCAAAGTCATTTTTGTCAGATTTAGTCAGAAGAAATCAGTCTGGGTAAAACTAAAGGATCCTAATTACTTCTAAATAGGGCAAGATAACAAATCAAGGTATCATAGCCACAGAAAACAGAGAAATAGTAAAAGACAGAAAGAGGCCTTTTACATGCCAGGCCTGTGCTCTACCACCGAGCTACCTCTCCTGTGACCCCACAGAAACAGTAAACTTCATATTCTCAACGTTCATTCTCATTCAACAAATATATCCACCCATGAGTCATGTGAGTACAAGAGTCAAGCCTTAGTAAACCCTTATTTGAAAAGTAAAAAAGACAAGGAAAGAGGAAGAGAAAAGAAACGTTCAAATGATTTTGGGCCCGAGTCACTTGGTGTCGCATGAGGAAAGAGAAACGTTAACCATTCGGACAAAGTGGAGGATAGACCTGGGAGGAGAAGGTGGGGCAGCGTGAGGTGACCTTGGTTTTTGTTTGTTGTTTGGTTTAAATGTACTGGCAGAAACCTGAAAGGAATCCGTCTTACGTGGGTTTCTAAATTCAGTGATTTTGCTTTTCAGTGCAAAAACTCCAGCCACATGAGACACCTAGAAACGCCTTGAGACGCCTTGAGACGCCTTGAGACGCCTTGAGACGCCTTAGACGCCTTGCCTTCTTTTGGCTCAAGGAGCGGAGGAGGCGAGCGCTGTGCGATCCCATGAGCTCCACCACCCACTCTTTGGTGCTTGTCATTACTTGCGCTGTGTTCTCCGTTGTCAGGGGAAGTCAGACCGAGAGCTCACAACAGAAAGAAACATTTATTCCCTTCATCTATTTTTTTAAGTGACATTTTTGTCTTCTCTTTTTTGCCAATTAATTTTTTTTTAGTCTTTAAAAACAAAGTATGACTTTATGCCGCACCATCGGCACCAGCGAAATCAGAGGTGACAACCCGGCCTCTCCCCAGAGACGCACGAACAAGCTTCTAAGCCCTGTCGACACATCGGTCCCACCTCTTTCCTCTGAGGGATGATGGCTCTACTTTGCTGGGAAATTTGGTAATATGGAGATGGTCGAAAGAAACCAGGACCTTGGGGGTACAAAACAGTAGTAAACTGAGTTTTATGAGTTTCTATCACAAGCTTATAAAATGCTTTACTTGAAACAACCACTGAGCTGGAAAAAAACTCAGGAAAAATGACCCCAAATGCCGTGTGAACACTCATAAATCTATCCCTTCTTCCCATCTCCCAGATACGCGGAGCCTCACACCCAAGGCCTCCGCAAGCTTCCCTCCACTTCACAGCAACGTGGCCGCCCGTGTGGACTGAGGGCCCTGTGTCCAACCCCTGCGCCGGGCGTGCAAGATCATCACGCAAGCTGACAAGCCAGTGGGCCCCAGAACAGTCTAGAAGTCTGATGATGGCTCAGACACACTGGCCATTAGCCACAAAGGAGAAACAATCCTCCTTTGCCCCCCTCTCCCCCAGGCAAAGGGACACCCTGAGCAGAGCACTCTGGGAGGTTTCAAAAGATGGCTGTTCAGGTTGGAAGGCTGTCCCGTCCACAGACACTCAGTTGAATATTTTGGTTGTGTACAGACACTACTTACCTGGGACAAGCCTAAATGCACAGACGCCGTCTCAGATATGTACATGATTTTGCCATCAGACGCTACCACAAAAACGAATCCATCCAAAGTCTGTAGAGAGAAAACAGTGTCAGGAGGAGTGAGGGTAGCTCTCCACCCTCATTAAGTAGGAAAGGCTGTGAGGGAGCTCCGTGGTGCATTGCGTGCTTAGCGTGGCCAACCCCTGGCTGCCTGGGTACATATGTATATATACTTATTTACATATATGCTTGTATACGTGTGTATATATGTGTATATGTGTAGACACACGTATCCCTCTTTATACACACTTGCATGTGTATGTGTATATGCATAGATCTATACACACATGCACATCCAGTCTATTTCCACACACACGTGCACACACACACTTGTTAACATACAGTAAAAAAGGAGCCGGAGCCGGGAGATCTGCAGGCAGCCTTACATACTTGAGGTTCATTTCCCAGGCCAGACTCTCAAATGCTTTTAAAGCACTTTGAAAAACAGTCTCACATCCACATCACAAAATCATGCCAAGCACGGGAGACTTCCTAGTGCACTCACTGTGGAGTAGAGGAGCTTTATAGTTTGGGCTTATTTGAGCACTCAGTACAAATCCGGAGTTCTATGGTTCTTAGGGGAACATCTGCCCCTCTATAAACCATTTAACGTCGTAATTGGCAATCATTTGCACCATGAGGACATCACCTAATGTGCCACAATTTCCTAGTTACCCCTACGTACCATTGGAATAATAAATTCCCACCACTCCCTAGAAAATAAAACAAAATAGTCAAAGATTTTACCAGACTTAGGTCTACACTATTAACTATGTAGACTTTGTACGAGATCAAATAACCTTGGCTAAATTCAAGGAGAAAGAGTAGCGATTTCTGGAAAACTTAACACTACTCCAGTGAAATGCAGAACTTTTTTTTTTTTTGCCTCAATCTTCCTAACCCTCTAAAAAAGAAAGTGGAAATTAAAGAGAGGAGATTCAGAAACTAAAAGGCATGGCTATAGTTACGTGTCAAGGATAAAAACACTAAGTATTTATTTATTCATTCATATTTTAGATTCAATACTAAAGAAAAGTAATTTTTTAAAAAACCAATACAAGCCACAGTACTGTACCTATAAAAATATTCCAAATTTCTGGCTACAAACTATTTTTACAGTATCTAATCAGAACGAGATCACCTTTGTGCTTCCTAAAAACCCCCTCTGAAAGGAGGACAGGTAAAGATGTGGTAGATGTGAGACTGAAGATATTCTTACACACAGTGCTGCCTAAATACAATTTGTTAATTTTTGCTGTTTATTTTTTACCTTTGCTTTTGCTTAGATTGAAAGCAACATTCTGGCTATAAACCTTACTTGCCTGCAGGTTTCTAACTTAACTACAAAGTATTTTCCCAGCAACTATCAGAAATACAAACTATAAGGCAATTTTATTAAATATAAACTATAAACTACATAAACATCTCAGAAATATAAGCTAGAAGGCAACTTTCAAAAGCCTACATCTGTTGACACATTTTGTGTCAAAATCATTAAAGAGATGTGTGAGAGGAAAACTCTCTCTCCCAATATGCAGGAAAATGAGTGGAGAAACTGTCCTAATTAAATCCTAAGAGCTGCTGGCAGTAGCTAAAATAATAATAATACTAACAATAATAACAATAATAAAGTTCTTAATGGGAAAAAAGTGGAGTATGCTCTCGTAGCTCTGAATGACCTAATTTGCTTCCACCTATAATACAGCCATCTCCGGAATTAATTAAATGTACAGTGGGGACGTGGGGGGTGTTGACTTTACCCGCCGGGTTTTCACTGAAGTTCCTGGCACTTTGTAGTCCTTGATATTAGTGTCATTTATAATCTGTCGGACTGTGAAACACTGCAGGGCTGGGAGCAAGCGCCTGGCAGCGGCCAGCGGGGCTCAGAGAGCCCCTGGCGCTTCCCAGCGCCCGCATTTATAAAACCAATCACACCTAGACATTTGGGGCAAATGAGTTTGGGGGAAAAAAAATCTGGTTTCTTTTCACCCAAAACGCACAGCTCGGGGCTGCTTTACCAGCTCAGTCACAAAGCCTGCAGCCAACTTTTTTTTTTTTTTAACGAAAGCATAAAATAGAGAGAGGAAATGCAAAGTCGCTCTCTCTAGGTAAGGCATTTGTGGCTGCCAGAGACACACAACGAAGGGGGAAACGAATTGGGTCTTTGATGAGATGTGGTTGCCAGCTGGCATGGGCCACTGATCTGGAAGTGGCCATTGGTGCCCAGTGAGCCTCTTCCTTGCCTTTCGTGAAAAGGCAACAGGCTCTCACAAACCGGTCCTACAACCTACTCAGGTGGCCTCTGAGCCCCCGGGAGCCCGGGAGCCCTCCTCCGCTAAACCTCCCTGAGTCTCAGCTTGTTTCTTAGAATAAAATGGAGTTAAAAAAATAGAACGTACTGGGGCTGGGAAGGTGGCTCAGTGGTAGAGTGCTTGCTTGCCTTGCATGCATGAGGCCCTGGGTTTGATTCCTTAGCACCACATAAGCCAAAAGAAAAAAAGCCAGAAGTGGCATTGTGGCTCAAGTGGTAGAGCGCTCGCCTTGAGCTGAAGAGCTGAGGGACAGCGCCCAGGACCAGAGTTCAGGCCCCACAACCGGACCTCCTCCCCCCCCCCAAAAAAGAAATAGAACGTACCGTAGGTGAGTGATAGAGTCAGAGGATGATGTTTTGAAAAGAATTTGGCTTTGAGAAAACTCAAGTACTGAGCAGTGGTGGCTCACACCTGTCATCCTAGCTACTCAGGAGGCTGAGAGCTGAGGATCTCAGTGCCAAGCCAGTCTGGGCAGGAGAGCCCTTGAGACTCTTATCTCCAATTAACTACCCCCCAAAAGCCAGAAGTGGAGCTACCACTTGAGCAAGGGGTAGAGAGAGCACCAGCCTTCAATGACAGGGGAAAGTACCAGGGCCCTGAGTTCCTGCCCCAATGGATACACACACACACACACACACACACACCAACAAGTACTGTCATTATTTCGTTTTTGGCACTGTCTCTGCCTCAGTATAACCTCTGCAAACACACACAATGGCCCAAGGCTGAGGGTGAGGTTCCTGCTTTCTGAGTTCCTGAACAGCCAGAAGGTCGGTCTGAAAAGACTTAAGTCCCACCCAGGGGTGTGAGTGCCCCTCCCCAGTTGGCTTTACCTGCAGCAAGTGAGACCCCAGCTCCTTGGCAACACTGTCCAGGGGCCCCGGCCGGCTGGGCTGGCCCCATGCATCTCCCAAACCTAGAAGAGGAAATAAATAAAACACACAGTAAACAGCGGCGCCCAGCCGGAGGCCAAGGACCTCACAAGCCAGCCACACGCAGGACCTCTGCGCTGCACACACCAGATCACAGAAGGAGGCTCCCAGCCTCCTCTGCCCGCAGGTCATGGCCGTCTGCACCCCATCCGTGGCTGGAGGAGGAATTTCTTCGGAGAACTCTGGCCTGGCCCGGGGCCGGAGCTCCCATGGGGGGCCCCACGTGCTCCCCAGCGCTGACAGTGCCGTCTGATTGGAAATGCCACAAAGTAATCTAATTTGCTTTGAAATTGACCATCCTGGAAGCCAGTGGAGGGGATCGATTTGACCCCTAATCCCCGACAACCTTCTCTCTCTGCCTCCCTTCTGGGACAGGAAAGTAGAAAAAGGTCTTCAAGCAGGCTCCCCAGGAGCTCTGCCCCCCACTTCCCACCCCAGAGCTCCTGCCTGGGTGGGACTTCCTAAGGGCAAATTCTAAACCTAGCAGCAATGGCGGGGAGGGGGACATGGTCGGACCATGGGCGGGCACTGTCTGCTCTCAACAATCAGGGCCCTGGCTTCTCCACTGGGCCCCTTAGGACTCCTAAACCCCACTTCTCCAAGGCCACCTTGGGGTGCAAAATTGCACCCAGTAAAAGAGAACCAAGCATAACATTCCCTCCCTCTTTCTGTCCCTCCCTCCTTCCCTTCCCCCTCTCTCCCTGCACCCTTGGGCCAGCCGCTGCGGCCCTGGAGAGCCTGGGCTTTCTCCAGCAGGACCCACTGAGGAGGAAGTGAGGAAGCCTGCAGAAGCGGATGTGGGGGCTGGACCACCAGCCCCCAGTCTCGGCCAAAGCTGTCTGGCCTGTGCGCCAAGCCCCCACCTCAGAGAACTCTCCACCCTGCAGGGCAGTGGCTCAGCATCTGTCCACCACCCCTGCTGTTTACCTGCAGGTGACCCCAGGGTGTCGCTGACACCTCATCCTCACCTGCCACCACTTCCTGTGGGTGAGGATCATGGGGGAACAGAGGTCCAAGCCCGTCAGAATCCTCTGCCACCGAGACTCTGGGGTGCAGGAAGCACCCTCAAGTGGGCAGCCTGGAATGGGTTCCACCACCCTGCGTGGGCTCCCTGGCCGCCTGCACTCTGGGAGACAAATCAGAGGCTTTGGTAGACATTCCTACTGCTGGGAAGCTTACAAAAAGAAGAATGACGTTCTATTCCTGGGGCTGGATGGACGACAGTGGGAATCTGGGGCTGGCTCTGGTCTCCCCACATAGCAGCTAATGTCAGCTCATCCAATCTCTCCAAACCTACGCCGCTCGCCACACAAAGCCCCTCCGCTTCCACCGCAGAAAATCCTAACCCGAACCCGAACCTGAACCCTGACCACAGAAAATCCAAGCATGGCCACCCTGCGCCCAGCAGCATGAGGAGCGCCCTCAGACTCAGTTCCAGTCAGATGGTGGAGGCCGCCTTTATTCCATTTCGACAGGAAGGGGAAAAGTGAAACTTGAGAACTAATTTATAAAGGAGTTGAGTAGGGCGAGGTGCCCACATTGCTCTCTCCGGCCTCTAGGCCCCACGGAGGGGTACAGGGGTTCAGGGAGTGCCCACCTGGGAGAGCCAGTGAGCTGGGGGAATTTTCGCCCAGGAAATGAGCCCCCCTAAAACAGACACCTCTGCTGGACTCTTTCAAAAGAAAACCAGTGCAGAAAGCCCTGTAGCTTTGCTGCAACCCAAGAGTTTTCCAAGAGACGTTGCTCCTTTAAGCTGCTGGTTCTTCTGTAACTTCCCAGCATGCCTCCATTCACAGGCAGAGTTGGGGCTGCCGATCTGGCTGGAGGGAGGCTGCTGAGACCCCTCCCAGGCTGCTCTCCTGGGCCCTGCCAACTCTTGCATTAGCCGCCGCTGTGGCAAGGGCTTTGCATTCAGCCCGTGAAAAAAAATCTGCTTTGGACTGAACGTGGAGACAGAATAAAGAAAAGGTTGTGACGGAAAGAATCATCTTGATACTGTAAAGTGCTACTCACTGGCAAAAGGCAAAAAGTCAGGGGCCTGGCCTGTGAGTCCAGGGTGAGACCAACAAAGAGATTTATTTAACCAAAGTGGGGAGAGCCTGTAAGCCTATAGGTGAAGATTCTCCTGGGGTAGCAGGGAGGACTTTGGAGCCGCTGGGGACCCCGAGTTCGATTTTCCTGACAGGACAAGCTGGGGACCCCTGGGCTTCTGAAAGCCAGGAAAAATCAAGGTTGTAGAAAGCCACAGGGAGAAACTGAGGTAAGAGGAGCTGAGCTCAAACACCGATTCTGTCACTTCCTTCCCCTCTTGCTGCCCGGGCTTTGGGGTGCCGGTGCTTGTACCACACTCCTGATTGCTATGATTTGAAACCTCCACAAGAAGCGCAGTGTGACGGCTCCACTCTGGGCCACTTGGCTGGTCGGTCAACAAACAGCTCAAGATCCACGGGCTCTGGACACATCTCCAGATGTAGGCCACAGACCCAAACAAGGGACCCGGAAATAAGAGCGTTTGAGAGAAGGGGAGATGGTTTTTCTCTCTGCTGCCCCATTCAAATGTGAGGATGAGGAGGGTGGGACTCAGAGTTCTTCTGGATGGGTCAGCAGGACCCCTGTCACCAGGACTTTGGCTCCTGCCTCGAGAGTTAGGGCCCTGATTTTGGTGGAAATGTCAAGATGCGCACATTTTCTCCCAGGTCACACCCCATTTATATGGAAAACAAATGGCCTCAACACCACGGAAGGGCTGTCTTCACCCTCACCCTACCACAAAAAGCTCAGGATCCCTCCCAACAGAAGCAGCCTCCCTTTCCTCCAGGGGAGAGAGAGAGAGAGAGAGAGAGAGAGAGAGAGAGAGAGAGAGAGAGAGAGAGAGAGAGAGAGAGAGAGAGAGAGAGAGAGAAAGAGAGAGAAAGAGAGAGAGAGAGAGAGAGAGAGAGAGAGAGAGCGAGAGAGAGCGTGTGTGTGTGTGTGTCCAGCACAGGGACTTGAACTCAGAGCCCTGGGTACAGTCTGAGCTCTTGTGCTCAAGGCTAGTGCTCTACCACTTGAGCCAGTGTCTGGCTCCTTCCTCTTAGCCACTTTGCAGGACCAGATCTCCAGCCAGTGCTCCAATCTTCACTTCTAGGCTCTAAACTGGACAGTGGCTGCTTGCAGGCTATGCTGTCACTCCTGGGGGGCTAGGGGTTCATGGGGAGTGCGACCTCTGGCCTGTTGCAAGCCACTGTGGATGCTAGGTGGCAAACGCTGGCAAAGCATTCCCAAGTCAAGAGAGCCTGAAGAGGGAGAGAGAAGGCAGGGCCTGCTGGGTGCTCTCCTGCTTCCATCCAAAAGCACGCCAGGCCTCTGTGCAAGCTGCGCACCTAGATCTCACCTACCCCACTAAAGCCACAGGGCCTCGGCTGGCTGGCCGGCCTCCAGGGTGGGCGAGCTGGGGGAGGGCTCCCATCAGGGCTGCCGCACTGGGCAAGCCCATTAGAGGGTGTCGTGGGGGGAGTTGGGGGCTGGGGCTACCTTCTTGGTGCTCTAGGACCCCTCCCCAAGCTTGTACCTCTAATAAACCTCCTCTCTCAATGGCAGGACCCCTGCAAATCATCAGGATTTGGGGGTTCCCCAGACCATACCAGTCTGTCTCAGGCCTTACCTTTTCTGTTCTCTCCCAAGCCCCTCAAAAATGTCCTGGTTTTAATCAATTGACCCAGAAGCAGAAGAGCATGTGGAGGTGTGTAAAGGGGTGCTAGATAGGCAAGAAGAGCCCCCACCAACCAATTGGGCCAGGGAGGGAGTGGAGGCGGCTTAAGACTGGGTCAATACACCCGTACACCACCCGCATGGTCACATACACTTGGGAAATACGGATGCAGCTGCCAGGAGGAGCTCAGGGTGTGGGGCGGGGTGTTGCCCTCTATCCCATGTGCCACTGGGTTCGTGGTGTGCACCCTGCTCCAAGGCCGCCTTCAGCACTACGCTGAGGGGCAAGGGTGGGCTTCGGGCCTGAGCTATGTCTTCCAGAGCCCACTCCACACCTTGGCAGCTTCAAAGCAGGGGGGGGGGGGAGCGCTGGGATGAAAGTATATTAATCTACAAACACGAGCCTTTGTGCTAGAAAACACGATTTGGGACTGCCTAAGAAAGGCCTGCGGCTCTAGAGGCTCCTCTGCCGCGCTAGACGCCTGTCACTTCACAAACCACCGCTAAGAGGTCTTCAGCCAAGAATCCCGGATCGATCGGGCTCCTTCCCACCACACCAGGCAGGGACATAAAAGGGGTCCCACCACACCAGGCAGGGACATAAAAGGGGTGCCGTATTGGAAGGGCAACCTAGAGGAATTCAGCTACTGGAATACTTCAGCCTGGGAGTTGGTCTGTGTGTGTGAGGGTAGAGAAAGAGAGTTTTCTGCTTTTAAGTAAAGGTTGGGATGGTGTGCTCCCTCCCTCCCTCACCGCTCCAGCGTGTTTCAGGTCTGTCCCCTGGAAAAGGGTCTCAAGGGGAAAGGACCCGCGGCCTGAGTTTCCAACTACCTGACAGTTAGTTGTAGGATCGGGAGGTCCAGAGGGAAGTGCCACATCCTGGCCCCAAACCTCAGATCTAGGGGTATTCTGGCGAATGAGTGGGGGAGGGCTGCTGAAAACCAACACTGCCCCTCTCTGGTGTGGCCCAGGCAGCGTGCCCACAGTGCCTACGGTCGGGAGCACCCAGTTTGCCTGCTCTGGGCTCTGGAGCCCTCTCTGGGGCCCTGGGCCACTGGGTGTAGTCCGTTAAGCCCAACTACCGAGCTGCGGTTGTTCAATGCCTTCCGTTCTCCACCTCACCCCAGGTTTCCATTTCCAGACCTTGTTGCTCACTAGCTCTCTTCCGCACCCTGACGAACTCTGAGTTCTCAGATCAATGTTGAAAGAGAAAATGGACACCCAGAAAACAGCGGGCTTTTAGAGTATGGTGGAAATCCACCCTCTCCTTGTTTAAAAGCTCCCCCCACCCCCGCCGGTGCCCATGAACACTAGGAGTTTGCGGGACAGAGTGACTGGAATAGATCCCCTCCTCTGCCCCAAGGTCTTCCCGTGGGGGGCACACATGCACCCACACACAACGTGTAGAACCCAAAATCCACCCATTTTACAAAGAATGAGGTTGAGCAACGCCAGGTGACAGCAGAACCTCTAAACTACCTGTAAAATTAAAAAAACAAAAACAAAACAAGCATTCTCCAAATCAGAGAACTCCCTTTTGCTGGGCAGCAGACCCTCTGAGTTGGGCCTCGGCCTGGAGAAGGCAGGCACCACGCAGGTTGTTCTGATTGTGAGGGTTGGTCTGATGATTCCCACCCTTTCTCATTTTCCAACCCGCACAGTCCTAAAATGGTCTCTAGATTCTTCTTTACCCAAGATCCTGCTTGGGACAGGTTGGGTAAAACCTCCCTTGGCAGGTGGGTGCCACTCAATAACTCTCCCTTTGGAAGCTGGGAGCGATTTGGGGGTTCCAGCGATTTTCGGGTTCCTGTCCCGGCTCAGGCTGGCCTTGATTCTAAAATCGCAGTAGGGCCACTGCCTTCACCAGGCTCAGAGTAAATCTGGGATCCCTAAGAACAAGTTAAATCCATGAAGAGGCCCCTTGTGCCCCCACCACAGAGTTCCTCGAGTTAGGCAAGGACGTCACTTTGCAAAATGGAGGTTTTTCTAGACGCATCTTCTCTTTGCTCTGGACTCTCAGATTTACAACTCAGCCCCGCACACCGCCAGCTCCAAGAGAGCGGACAGCTCCTCCAGTCCGGACAGCGGCTCTGCAGGAAGTGGGCTTGGGGAGGGGGTGGGGGAGTAGAAGTTGACCCTCTTCCCCCAGTTAGACGCCACAGGTTTAGAGTCATTTCCAGAAAGCCAAAGCCAGAGTCTCCCGCGTTATTCTCTGGGAAGAGGGAGCTGGCCGCTCCGCGGGGAGGAAAGCCCCGAACACGGCTCTGAACACAGCCCAACAAGCCTCCCACCCCCCAGCCAGCAGCCCGTGCTCACACCAGACTCCACAGGTACCCAGCCAATGTCAGCCGGCGTCCTGTGGGAGAACACGTAAGACACTTCTCGATTTTTCTTTTTAGCAGCCTTCCTAGGCAACTTTCCCAAGCCAGCATGGCTTGTGCGTTCCTCTTTGGGGTAGCCCTCTCCCGAGGGTCAGCTCAGCCGCGTTCGGGATCCTTCACAACCAATGCTTTACTCTTCTTGCCATTTATTCTTTTGCTTTCTGACACAAACCAAAAACCAAGCCACGCACAGCAGGGGGCCGCCCCGCGCCGGGTCCGGTTCCACACCTGATTTTGTAGCACGCGGAGGGGGCGCGCGGCCCAGCGGCCACTCCCACGACCCCGCGCCCCGGGTGGGAAGGAGACGCGCAGCCCGAGGACACCGGATTCCTCGTGCATTTCCGCTGAAAACGCCGGCTGCGGAGGAATCCGTCTACGTCGCGGGCCAGGGACCGGGAGGGTGAATAAGCCAGGGTCAGCCACCCCCGGCGGCCCGGCTGGGGCAGGGGGCCCCGGGGACGCGCGCCAGGCCCCCCACCCAGAGCCCAGGAGGAGAGCGCACAGCCCGGCTGTGGGGAGGGGGGACCCCCTCCGAGGCCGCCCTTGGTTCTGGGGGAGCCCCGGGGCTCCGGGACCTCCGGCGATCGCTCCCAGGCCCGCGGCGCCTGGAGAGCCGAGGCCGCAGCCGGCGCCAGGCCGGGTCGGAGGGAGAGGGCGGAAAACGCAACTTCAGAGCGAGAGGCGAGCGTGCGGGGCGGGCGCGGGAGAGCGTGCGGCTTCCGGGGCGACCCCGCGGCCGGCTGCGGGCTGCGCCGGGGCCGCGGGACACCTGTCACCCGTCCGCCCGCAATCCGCAACCCTCTCCGGGCGGAGCGCGCGGCGGCAGCGGCGTCTCCCCGCGGCTTGGCTCCCGTGCACGGCTCCGGACGCCGACGCAGCCTCGAGGCTCCACGGCCTGGAGATCCTGCCGCGTCCCGGGCGGACCCCGCGGGCCCGCCGCGGTCCCCGGCTGAGGCGGACAGAGGCTGGGCCGGGAGAGCCCACCCGCAACCCCACCGTGTCCGCGACCCGCGCTCGCCCTCCTCCCGCGGACCCCGGCTCGGGGCGCCGTGGGCCCCGCCGCCCTCCGCCGATCTGGAACCAGAACGGGCCCCGCTCCGGCCCGGGGTCCTCGCTTCTCTCCCCCGCGGCGTCCCGGCTCACCCAGCTCCGGTCTTCCACCCGACCTCAATCTTCGCTCGCTCGCTGGGAAGGGGACCGGCCCGGAGCCCGGAGCCCGCGGCGCCCCGGCCTCCCCGCTGCCGGGCACCTCCACCTCCCCAGGAAAACAGGGACGCCAGCAAGTCACGGAGGAAGGAGAAGCAGAAGGAGAGCTACGGGAAGGAAGGGCGAGGGGAGGAGAGGAGAGGAGGGGAAACAAAACAAAACGGAGACGAACAGGAGTGGAGGGACATGGAGAGTCGGAGGAGGAAGAAAGAAGAGGAAGAAAACGAGAAGAGGAGGAAGTGGAGAAGGAGAGGAGGAGGAGGAGATGAAGAGGACGAAGAGGAGGAGGAAGAACGATGATAAGGATGAAAAGGAGACTGACAGAGGCAGGAAGAAAAGAAAAGCGGAAGAAAATGCAAACGCGGAGGGAAAGAGGACCGTTGCCGTGTCGGCGGGGGACCGCCGGCCCCTGAAACAACTCTTGGGTTGCAACTGCTCTGCCACGGGCCGAGGGATGGCTCCACCGCCTGGGCCGCCCCGGCCCCGGCCCCGGCCCCGGCCCCGGCGCAGCCCCCGCGGACGCGCTGACCCCGGCGGGGAGCCCGAGCGGCCGCCCACCCGAGGCCTCACCTTCCGGGAAGACGGCGCGCATCTTCAGGTAGCTCGTGGTGAGTCTGATGATGGACGCTTTGTCCAGCTGGGAGGTGATGGCCGACGGCAGCGGGAGCAGCTTGGCCAACTCATAGAACTCGCCATTTTCCTTCTCCCTCCTGGTCTTGGCCGCATTTTTGGACTTCTCCTTCATCGCGCCTCGGGTCTGGGCATATTAAGACCCCGCCGCGCTCCAGGCCCGCGGAGCTGCGCTGGGGCCGCGGCCGCGGGGAAGCCGGGGCCGGGCGATCCTGGTGAGCCCGCCGCGGGCAGGTGCGCGGGGCCGGCCCGGAGCCCCCGCGGCGCCTCCGAGCGCGCCGCGCGTCCCGAGCCCGGCGCAAAGCCGCGGCGCCCGCCGCGCCGTCTCCGCCGGCCGCTCGGGGGCCGGGCCGTCCGGCGGGGCTCGGGGCTCGGCGTCCTGCTCGATCCGCGTGTTCCGCCTTCCGGCCTCCTGTTCGTCCCTGCCTCGTCTTCCCTCGGGGTGCGGGGAAACGGCGAGGGCGCGGCGGTGCGGTTTACTCCGCCACCGAGCGCTCGCACCTGTGGCCGCGGGGCCTCTCCGGAACAGAGGGCGGCGAGGGAGGCGAGGGCGGCGGCGGCGGCGGCGGCGGCGGCCGCGGAGCCATGGAGCGGGAGCCGGGCAGGCGCACGAGGACGGAGCCCGGCGCGCTTTCCGGCCCTCCTTCGCCGCCGCCGGTGTAGGGAGCCCCGACTCCGGGAACTGGTGATCGGTGGCGACGCTCAGCGACTCCACGGTCCACGTGCGACCGATCGGCGTTTGTTTATGGCGGACCCGCCTTCGGGCGGAGCGCCGGACCGCCGAGCCGGGGGGGGGGGGGGGGGGGAGGGGGGGGCAGGCAGGAGGAGGGGCCGCGGCGGGGGGGGGGGAGTGGCGGCGAACTCGCCTCCGACCCGCCGCGGCCCGGGAGCCCCAGGCGCGCCTCCGCGTCCCAGCCTCCGGGGACTCCCAGGAGACACCCGCGCGCTCCCGGGCTCGGTGAGTGCTCACGGCGCGCCGTCGAGATCTGGGCGCTGGGCTGGGGCGGTGGGGTGGGGCGAAGGAGGGAGGGAGGGAGGGGGCCGTGGCCGCCTCTGTGGCTTCTGGACGTGTCGCGGGCGGGCGCGGCCGAGGGGAGGAGGCGCTACACACCGGCCAAGTGCGCTCCGGGAGGTCCCAGCGCTGCGAGCCCCGGCCGGTCCCACCGCGCACTCTCCACGACCCGGGTCTGGGACCCGTGGGGAGCCTGCGGCGCCCGGCCCCGCGCCCTTTCCCGCCTAGAAAAACTCCGGTGCCAAAGGAGATCGCGCCTCCGGGAGCGGAGCGGGAGGCCGCGGGGCGCGCGGGCCGGCCCGGGCGCGGCCCACCGGCGAGGCCTCTCCCTAGGGCGCCGGGGGGGGGAGGGCGGGGAAACTGGGCCCGACCACCGGGCCGCGCCATCCGAGCCCCCTCGCAGCCCCGAATTCGGGGAATCCGGCGGTCGGGAGAAGCCCTTCGAGGTGACGAGCGTCAAACCACCACCACCGGGGCGTGCGCGTGTGCGCGCGTGTGGTGGGCACGGGTGGGGCCCGCGGTGAGGGGGCAGAAGGCAGCTGGGGGGAGAGGTCCTGGCCCTTGGAGCCCATCCAGACCCCCTCCCGTTGGGATCCCCCTCCCCCCCTTTACCCCGTTCCCCGCCGCTCCCGCAGTCCGGATGGGAGCGAACCCGGCTCCTCCGCACAGCCCCTCATTCCGTCCCGGAGTCTGAGCCTCCGCCCCGGCGCGGATGGCAGCGTCCGGGGCGCCCCGGGCCCGGGCCGGGCACCGATCGCGGGTCCTCTCCGGGCCGGGAGGTGGGGACGGGGAGCGGACACAGCGCGGGGGGCCGCGTGCAGGGTCTTCGTTGTGGACGGGCACTGGCGGGGGGGCCCACACCCGGGGTCTGGCACTGCCCGGGCACCGACGGCCCCCCTGACCTCTCCGAGTTCGAGGCCGCGCAGGCTTCCGCGGTGGGCTTCACCGTGCGCTCCGCGGGCCCGGCTAAACGCGCCGCGTGGCTCCGGTGCCGACCCCGGGGAGCCCGCACTCCCCTCCGGGGGTTCGGCTCCAGGCGCGGGGAGGACCTGGGCTGCGCACCCGCGAGGAAGGCACGCCCCCGGGACGCACCGATGCCCGGAGCCGCGCCTCGGGCCTCGGACGAGGGCTTCCCTGGAACTCCCGCTGGGGGCGATTCCACTCGTCTCCCACCCCCGTGATCTCTGACCCCCCCGTTACAGGCTGTGGAGAACTCCCCCGGCTTGGAGCGGGGTGTCCGGACCGCAGAAGCCCGGCCCCGCGGCGCGGGAGGAGCGGGAACTTTCCTTGCTCCGCGCCGGGGTTCCCGCGACACGGACTTCACGGCCTCGGGGCCGGGCAGGCTCGCTTGGAGAGAGAGGTGGCGAAGGAAACGGGGTGCTTGTGGGTGACCCCGCGGTCTGTGGGCGTGGGTCACCAACAGGCCCACAAAAGCCGGCCTGGGCAGGCACTCCGCGCCTCCCCTCCTCCTGCCCCACCAGGACCGGGGACCCCACGTCCCCAGCCCCCAGGGCCGCTCACCCCAGAGGGATCCTGTTTGTGCACGGGGTGGAGGGAGAACCCCACCCGGGCCAGGCCTTCTCATGGCCCGGTTTTAGGGTACGTTGGCTAGGAGACAGCAGGATTAGAAGCCGTGCCTAAACTGGGAAAATGGGGCGCTAAACTGGGAAAAGGAAAAGGGAGCGCTGCCGGTGACCTCCCCCCCTCTGGACACCTGTTGGGCATGATCTAGAAGCTGCTTCACCTGGGGGGCCTAGAAGGAACCTGCAGAAGGCGGGGAGGAAACCGGGTCCAGCTTGTTGGGGGGCCCTCAGTGATTTCCCCGCGCGCACTTGGGCCCCGCTGCCCGCTTCTGGGGGGACCCCCACTCTCTTCCTCCTTCCTCGCACCCCACCTCTTAAGCCATTTTCCGTTGGGAAACGGATCGGATCTGGAAGTCGGGCCCCACGGCCGGCCGCCCCACGTCTGCTGGAATTTTCCAATTCAGATGCTGTGCAGCTGGCAACGGCGCTGTCCGACGGGGCTGCGCGCCCGGCGCCCACCTGAGGCCCGTCCCCAGTGGAAGCGAGCTTTCCTGTGAGATCAAGGGGTGCGGGTGCGGGACCCCCCTACACCCGGGACGGGCCCAGGAGAGGCGCCGCGAGAGAGCAAGAAACAGGGACCGGGTTCCTAAGGGGTGTGGTGGGGGTGAATTCTCGGTTTGCAGGCTCTGAAGTGGAATTTAAGAGACAATGGGAAATCTATTCAATTAACACAGGCTTTCCACACAGGCATTAGTACAACGCAGTTCACCACAGCGAAGATCATTGGCGCCCACATCTCAAACGCAACTATTGCCAGGCTGGGAGGGATTTTTTTTTTTCCCTTCTGTCTGAACTATCTGAAAGAATAGTTCAATTTTTCCCTCCACTCCTCTCTCTGTGTAAATTCCTTTGCACACCAGCTTTTCTCTAAGGACTTGCTACTTCCAGAAAGAAGCAGAGAACAATGACAATGTTTGCACACAGTGCTGAAGATAATTACGGGTAGCTAGAAACATGTCGAAATCATTTATTCCTGCAGCGCTTAAACAGTGGAAGACAGTAGCACGCAGTACAAGGACAATTTCTTCCCTCTCCTCTTCTTTCCCCCTTCCTGCTTTTAGAAAGCACAGGAGTTTCTTCCACTGGAAGACGTGTTTGGAGAACATGCTTGCTTTCAAGTTGGTGTTCTATCTGGTAATTTGATGGCCTGCCAGGCAACAGACAGATGCCTCTTCTAGCAGGGATCCGGAGTCTCCTGCTCGGTGGCCTTTGCTTCCTGGAGGCTTGGGTGGCCTGCTGGAGTCCAGGCTGCTAGGAACAGATTCAAGGCGGTGAGACTCTGGGTTGTCCAGAGTGACTTCAGATTCTGGGATGGACGGGAGCGGGCAGCAGCTCCGTGCAGCCTGCTTCTCCCTGCTTTCAAGGGGCTGGTAATGAACATAATTAGTGACACCGGTAGTTAATTATTACGATTAGCCAAGTTCCAGAGAAGGGGGGGGGCACGTGAACGAGCGTAGAGCAAGTAAAGCTGCAGCAACCACAGGATCCTTTCATTTTATCTGGAGATAAAGTTTATCTGGAAGTAACATCTGAAGCCCTTTCCTCTTCCTTTTTCCCCAAGTCCCAGTGTGATTTTTCTCCAGCTGCTGAGGGTGGAGGACTTCTGAAACCCCTCCCCGAGCATACAATGCTCCTCAGGGAGGACGGCGGCCTCCCAGGAGCTGGAGACACTTTAGGTGCCGAGAAGCAGCCCGGGAGGGGAGGGCCGCGCCCCCCTTTACCCTCCCGCTAGCCTCTGGCCCCGCACTTCTCCCCAGAGGTTCTTTGGCAGTTTAGCGGAAACACCACTCATAATCCTGGGTCGAAGAAAGGCAGCCCACCTGCTCCCCCCCCCCCCCCCAAGCCGGCTTTCCTCTAGAACGAGTCTGGAAACCCTTGAGCCCGAGGAGTCTTAGTCTTGTGTGTGCTGAAATACCTCTGTGGTCACATCAATTATCCATCCGCTGCCTGGAAATCTGAAAAACGATTCGTTCATTAATGACGCCCCCAAAACAATCTCTCAAGAGCATCAACCCCCAAATCTGTCCTGAGAACCAACGAGAAACCGATCCACCTGAGATATTTCCATACATCAAAGAAAGTAAGGGCAGGATGGATTCGTGCTCCTCCAGCATGCTCATGACTGATAATAATTGATCATAACAATGGCCAGCCCTAATCAGAGTACTGATTACAGCTTGTGACCTAGCTGCAAAGACACTTGCTCGACTTGTTTCGTTTAATTCATGTCAGCCATCTATTTACAAAGCAGAGCTACCAGTGGGGAATCTCTTTTCCAAAGGAAACGGATTAGGAAAGACGGAGCTGAGGTGTGTCTGTGCCTTCCACAGTCCGCTGAGTATGTTGGGGGGCGTGAGGGGCGTGCTCAGGGTTCCCTCGGGCCGGGCTAGGGTGCCCATCGCTGCCCCAAACTTTGCCTCCTCCACCAATTTGGGCGGATTCTTATTTTGTTTTTCTCTTCTATCCTAAAGGCACTAGGAAAAGCCGGCTTTTTCCTCTCCAGCGAAGAAGGAGCTGAAGTTCAGTTCTGGGGGTGTGGGGGCGAGGTGGGGTGAGGGGGGCCGGGCACGTGGGTGGGC